CGATTCCCAGGGCTGGGGCAGTCTACCAGCCTGCCCTGCTCCCTGGCTTGCCCTGCCATCCCAGGAGAGCCTCCAGCCCTGCCCCCATCCCACAGGGAGAAGCCAGCCCTTGGTGAACCTTGACAATTTTCTTTTTTCCCCCCCCTCTCTTATTAACTTTTCTCTAAGGAATTAACTTTTCTCTAAGCAATTATAATTCAAACTTAGCAAAGCTGCATTTTTCACTGGAGACTACTTACTTGCCAAGATTTTGGCAATGAAACCATCATGGAATAAATGACTGTTGTGATAACTTCTTTTGTGAAGTGTTTGGTTTTCACCCTCCTTTTGTACGTGTTTCATCAATAGGGCTATAGTTGAGGGATGTGCCAAAATAAACATTAACATTATTTTAGAAACTGTAAACCCCAGAAAGTAGATATTTATCAGATAAAAGGATGTAGCGTTATTTGAGAAATACTAAGAAAGGTTAAAGAGAGTCTGTTTTCTACTGTAGTTTTAAGCCACAGAAATGCTGCATAAAATAACAGTAACGCCTGGGGAATCAACCTCGCATTACTCAGCATTGAGAGCAATAGCTATTTTCAGTGGGTAACAATTGTACAGGGCTTTGTAATCAACTTCCAATGTCAAGGATTTCCCACCATGTCCTCAGTGTTGGCACCCAGATTTATATCAGATGTGAATGAACTCTAGTAACTGTGTGATGCAGCTCAAGAAATCCCAGTAAAAACTTTTTGGTGTCCAAAAAGATACTTCAATTGCAGCTCAATGGACCAAAGCTATGGGACCTGCTGAGCTAAAAGCAAGCACTAGTGTTGTCCAAAACCTTTGAGGCATAGCGTAGGTATCGGTAACCATGGGCTTTGCGCAGTGGCTGTTGAAGTGGGGTAACATAATGTTTTGTTGCTGCTTGTCAGTCTGGAAGGGCAGCACAAAGAATCACAGAATACTTCAGGTTGACTATCTCTAGGCCCCCAAAGGTGCCCAAGAACACTAGGGGTAAGAACTTGTCTGGGATTTAGGTTGTTTGGACCTGTAACTGCAGACCTTCACTGCCCACTTTGGACTGAATAGTAAATTGATGTTTGCTTTGCTAGCTTGCTAGTATTTGAGTCGCAACGAGGCACTGGGAAATTACGCTGAATTGCTAGTCTACTTTTGGTTATATGAACTTTGTGGATCACTGCATGTCTGCAATGCATCTGTCTGGGAAGCACAGTCCTCTTCCCATGCATAGTTTCCTATCCATCTCATCAAACTGACTGAGAAGTCTTTCAAGGACTCTTTTTAAAGTGTTCCTACATACTTCCCAAGTTTTCTGTCCTTGAGTCAAGTCCTATTCATAACTCTTCTTGCAGTGTATGGTTCATATATAAAAATAAATATTACATGGTATATATTATGCTACCTAGGGCCCTTTTCCAGAATTCTTTTACTTGTATCTCAGGCATACTGGAATTGTCTTTAAAGGCAAAGTCTGGAGCTATAGTGACTCAGAGGTGTAGCTTTTTTGCTTGCTGGCTATATCAGATACAGTTGGCCTGATAATAGCAGATGCTACAACTACATCAGCAATGCATCTATCTAAGAATTGATGAAAGCAATGCAGTGTTCATAAAAATGAAATTGCTGGCCTTCTAAACTTTTATACCACAGCAGCCTGTTTACCAAGGAGTACTGAGAGCATGTGGTGCCAGGGTCACTTGCATCATCAACATCCCTGGAAGGTATGCACTTCTTTTGCCTTAACAGGCAATAAAACTAGGTAGAGCAGTTGAGCATTAACTGACTGTCCGTTCCCGAGTTTTTAGAAGTCAAGCAAGATGGTTGTATGCTTTCTCTGGCTTTTCCTGAAACAGTAAAATACATACCTATTGTAGATAAAGGAACCCCGTTCCTATATGTGTGCTAGGCTGAAGCAAGGAGGAATGGAGGCAAGTGAATTGGTAACGGTGCTGAAGCGTGTAGATTTTTAGTTCTGGGGTCCAGGAGGAGGGACTGGGATTTTGTCATCTTGGCTGACAAGAGATGAAAGTATTCCAGAGCCTGAAGAGAGCAGAAAGAGGCATTTGGAACAGAAACTAGCTGATAGCATCTAAAAACATCTTGTTATCAGATCACGTGATAATAGATTTCTTATTTGTGATAAATATGTAGCTTTATATTTGCCTGCATACACATGCATGCAGTTATGAAGTAATGAGGACTGTGCACAGATTTCTGAACGTTGGAGTTTGGTCCCTATGAAAATGTTTCTCTAACACTGTACAGCTTTGGGAGGATTCTTCCGGCTGATGCTCCTTTTGGGGTGTGCATAAATGGAGTGGTACTGAGAAAATGATTGTTCCTGCACTCTGTGGATGCATAAACCTTACAACAAAGAGTCCCTGTGGATTTTGCTCTCTATAGAAAGAATAAAGAATGCTTCTTCTATAGGAGGGATATTAGAATATTTATCAGGTTGGTGTGTGTGTGTCAGGGAAGGACTTTCTATCTTAATTGCCTTCCAGTAATCTGACTTTCAAATGCTCTTCCTTTGGATTTTTATCTCCATGTTTTCTCGCTTATGCTGACTGAAAGGTCCCTTGTTTCCAGGGTGAGCTAATACTGCTCCTAAATCAGTCAGTTGATATAGAGGAATAAGACTGCAGAGAAAGAGTGGTAGCATGTTTCATTCTTTTGAGAGTAAGGGAGGCGGGATTACAGGCAGAGGAATTAGATGTCTGAAAGAAAAACTTGGGAAAATAAGATGCCTTGCTGAAAGCTAAAACTCTATTGATGGGATTACTCTCAGAAAGGCAAATGAGAATGCAAAAGACAAACACTGAGCTCAATATCTGGAACGGAAGAATGGGAGAAGGGTTTGGCAAGGGGTCAGGGAGACGTTGACTTGGCAGAGAGAAGGTATGCAGAAGTGGCTGTAACTTGGGTAGTGCCATTGAGTGAGCAGGGTGAAGGCAAACAGAGTCAATCTGAACCAGAAAACTTGTCCTGAAGGATTTTGCTTGCAGAGGTATTAGAATTGCACAAAACTTATGTGAAGGAAATCAAATAGCACGGGCTAGGAAGAAAGTGTTTCACATTAGAGCAATATAGGTAATAGGCAAGAAGAATTTAGGCTGACTCTGAAGCCAGATAGTTGGGGGTAATTTGGTAGTAAGTGCATAAATATGATCGGCTAATATCTCAGACTGTTTCTGCCAACAGTAGAGAATTATTCCTTAAAAGAGGGTGAAAGAGAAACAAGATTAACTCAGGGACATATGGTCAAGTAGGGAGTATGTGTAGAAAATCACAAAAAAACTCCATTTAAATTACAAGGGAAGATTAACCCATGCATCTTGCCTGAGTTGGATTTGCTGGATAATTTATTAGACTAGCTCCTATTCCTAGCAGAAACCTGGTTGTCTTATGCAAAAGCAGTTATCAATTAACTGAAGGGAAAATCACGTGCTTAAAGCAAGGAGCTTGTGTCTTCTCTGTAGGCCTTGGAAAGTGACCTGGGTGGATGGAAAGTGCTTGCTGGGTAGGGTTAATATCCCTGCTATGGTGAAATTCTCTATTTCTAGGATGTTCCTCCACTCCAGCAGAAAACCCTTACAATGGTGCTTACGAGCTGGGTGATGATCATCAGTAGTTAACTTGCATGAAGATGCAGGAGGGACAACAGGAATGAGTGAAAACAGAGCATGAGCAGGGATAGAGGATGGGAACATGGGGTTCTGTGTTTGAGTCAAAAGGGGCTGTGTGAAACTACAGGATGGACTGGGACCCAGACCCAGGGGTTATGTAGATTTGTTGGGGTACTGTGTGTAGAAGGGAATTAGACTATATCTCAATAGTTTTTTACCTTTCATGTCTCTGCCTGTCCACTCTTCACTACACCAAATGTTTAAGTGCCCAAATGGTACACGTTACCTTCTTGGTTGTATAATATATACATAAACTGTCCTACAGGTGCAGTTGCACTGCAAACCCTGTATTTACAGCCTCACTCACTGTGTAACCCTGCATTTACCCTCTTTTCCCGAGTGGAATTAATCCTGTTGCATCTTGCAATCATTCTTTTTTCTTGGGGTATTGCTGTTCTTCCCACTAAACCCCCATGTCCTGCTGCATGTAGATGCCATCAGCTGCAGTAGGCCTTTTTTTCCTGAAAATGTGATATTTCATGTGCTTCTAAGACAATGTGTTTTAGCTGGTTCTGTTGCACTTGTAATTTCTTGTCTATATTATCATGCTTATTTCTTTTAGTGTCAGTATCCATTCAGACTTTCTAAACACAAAATTAAGGCTGTAGCTAACAATGGCCCAGATCTTGACCTCATCATTGGACACAGTTGGGTAGGGGGGAAAAAAAAGTCCATGTATGGAATTTTGTTACAGTAAAAAGTGTGTTCTGGGAGTTTCCTTAGTGCTTCCTTTATTTTTCTTTAAGTATCTGGCTTGGAGCCAGGAATTGGGATTAAGTGACTACTGATCTGACGTGGAGTGACAGTGCTCATAGTCTCTGAAGTAATGATTTGCCTTTGCTGCCTTGCAGAGAGGGAGATGTTATCCTCTTGCAGATGGTTATTCAAAAGTGCTGAGATTCTATGAATAGACAAACAGTAACGGTTTGAGGGAGATCATAAAGCTGGATGTGCTATATGGCTTCAGGAAGCTAATACTCCTAGATATTAGAGGCTTTCCATTTCTGATGTGTTATTCTCTGCTACTTTTCATACTAGGAATACAGCCCAGCAAGCCTGTCTCTTTTGCAAGAGAACATATAGGAGCTCTGCTGCATTTTCATTATTTTTTCCTGTGTTGCCATGTCTGTTTGATGTATCTGTGGCGGTTTTCATTTACAGGGCCAACGGATGAAACGGCAGATTGATGTCTGGGGGAACTGGGGTGAATGGGGTAGGTGCAGTCGGAGCTGTGGCGGAGGAGTCAGCTTTCGGCAACGGCGCTGCTATTCCCAAAGGTGAGAGCTAACCGCCTTTTTCTTTCTTTAAACGTTTTTCTGTTACTGAGCTCCTGCACTTATGTTCCAATATACATCTAGGACAAAAACGACCTAGTGTTTGATTCCAGGGGAATAAGTCACCTGTGTCCACTTTGAGATGATCCTCAGGTTCAGTCTCGTCACTGCTATTTTGAATAGTGCTCTCTTTAAAGACATTCTTGCTTTGGCTCTTCGTGAGAACACAGTGGTTTCTCTGTGAGATCTGAGGTGATTGTTATGGCAGCAGCTGTTCGATCAGGTCTGGCGTGGCAAGCCCTGGGGGAGAGGGAGAACAGTTCAGAGCAGTAAGTTTCTCTCCTGAAAGCCAATGACTGTGCCAAGGTTTTCTCAGGCTTATGATTCCCAGGAAGGTAAATTGCCCCAGAAGAAATGGAAGAGTGGAGTTGGCTGAAGCAGTGGTAATGCTGTGCCATCTCATTTGCAGCTGGGTTAGATGCAGTGAGGACAATGACCGGGACTGAGCCTGGGAATAACAGACCTCAAAGATCCTATTGTGGATGAAAACAAAGAAAAACAAAAAAAGCCAGACTCAATAATATCTTGAAAAAAAACAGTCTCTTTATGTTTAGAGAAAGGAGAGGAGATTTTTTTAATAGAAGAGTCCAGAGTTATGGAGCATTTCTTCTTCCCACCCAGAATAAAGAAAGTTCTCTTTTGAAGACTGCCTGTTATGGAATACACCTGCCGGAATCCCTGGAGGCCTGTCTCTCCATTTTAGGAATGCTGAGATGTGAGACCTTGGTTGGCTTTTCAGATCAATTTCCTCCATAACTGTTACTCTCCATAATTCTCAGCTGGAGTAATTTGACCAGAATGAGAGTGGTGCACATTCTCCACAGGCATGTTTAGATCTTCCTGCTAATGGGCCTAGTGTGCACATAAACAGCATGATAGATGATGTATGTACCTACTCTGAATTGGCCACTACCCTCCAGCTGCTCATAACATGTTTCTGGTTGTGGTATGGACACCTCAACTGTTTGCTGGTGGACAAAGCACTGAAAGCTCTGCTGCCATGAATTAGTTGAAACGTGACCCTGAAGAGCTGCACTGCAATCGTTCATGGTGTGTGTGTCTCATTCATTCCAGAACGCAAACTATAGCAGAAAATGGCCGAGAAGATGCCAGCTTGCTTTGGTGTGAAGAAACGCGTTTTACTTCTTTTGCTGTTTCAGGAAACTGTGTGAGGTTGATATGCTCGATGTGAAGGTGATTTGTAATGTCTGCCATTAGATGATTTTTTGCATATGTATTCTTCAGAGAGCTTCATGTTGATTTTCTGTCTTTCAGGACAGAAGGTGCTTCCAGTTGTGTTGGACCAACTCGAAGCTATCGGTCATGCAACATTCAGGTACAGTGCTCTGTTTGTGCTCTGTTTTTTGGTTTTGCTGCCTGTTGCTCTTTTTCCCCAGACAAACATCGTTCTTGTTCAGAAGTTACATGTCATTATTAGTTTCTCTTTCTCTGGCATCACTGGCAAATGCCGCTCATCAACAGTACCCCTTCAAAAGCATATTGAATTTATGCCTCTGCTTTAACAATAAAAATAAAAAACTATTTTTCTTTGTATATTTCATTTTCCTTCTTTTTATAATGGCCCAATACAAACATTTTCTCCTCTGAACAGAGCTGCCCAGAAGGCTCCCGGGATTTCCGGGCAGAGCAATGTGCAGAGTTTGATGGGACAGAATTCCAAGGAAAGAAATACAAGTGGCTTCCGTATTATGGAGGTAATGATAAACACATAGGGTTGCACTTCATCCCTAACTATCAACAGTATGTTTTGAAGTGACCGTGATGTTTCTGACTGTAGTATCCTCATGGGGTACTTCCTTAGTTGGAGTAGGGGGGCAGGGGGCAGCATGGAAAAATCTTTTTGCCAGCAGCAAAGCATTGCTCTCGTGAAGACACTGGATGCATGTGCCAAGAGACAGCTCCCATTGCAGCAACACATAGTTGTCACCTGTAACAGCCATTCATTGAGAAACATCGTTCGAGAAAGCTGGAACTGGTTGCAGCTAGGTCCTAAAGTATTAGAGAAGCAGAAGCTCTGCTGTATTTTTCAATATTGGCAAAAGAATATTAGCAGGGCACAGGAGAAACAAATGCATATAATTGAGTGCTTCAGAAAATATGACATGTCTTTCAGTTGGCTCATGCTTTCTTGAGGAACTAGCCCAGAAGGCAGGTGTAGGAACCAGAGGTCCTTGCTCTGAGCTTTAATATGTTATCATTCACAGTTATTTAACAAATTATGAGGGATATCAAGATGGCTTTAAAGTTTCGTTTGTCGGCTGTTAAGATAACAGCTCCCTTGTGTTCTGTACCAGCACTACTTCTCATTCTGGAAAGCCTTGTACTCCGAGGGAGCATAAGGACAGTCCTACTAAGGAATAACCAAGGATCCACCTGGCCCGATGTCCGCCCTCCACCATTGGCCAGCCAAGGTGTCTGAGGAAATGGTTGCAGACAGTGAGGCTTTGCTAGCGTATTTTTCCAGCCCCCAGCAGTTTGTGATCCAGAAATTTGTTCCGTATCTGCCACTTAATATCAGTCTATCTCTCTGTTTCTACTCCTGTGATCTAAAACCAGCCTCTTGATGCATTATCAAGCTATTAGCCATACTATATAATGTTTATTTTTTCTCTCCTACCAGCACCTAAAAAGTGTGAGTTAAACTGCATTCCCAAGGGAGAAAACTTCTACTACAGGCACAAGGAAGCAGTGGTAGATGGGACTACCTGTGAACCTGGCAAGCGGGACATCTGTGTAGAGGGAGTTTGTCAGGTTAGTCATCTTGTTGCTTCCTTCATTTACCATTGGGTCTGTCAGTCTTTCTGTTGCTTCCCTTTTTTCTACTTGGCCTTTCGTAATAGCATCAGAAAAGGAGAATCATTCCATTTCCAAGGTGCTGAGGAGCATGTGGACAGCATTTATCTATCTGTCTCTGAATGCAAAACAGAAGATGCCAACACTCTACTTTCTCTGACAGCTCCTTCCATATCTTATCCTGACTTCTCAGACTCCCTACGTTCAGGCTTTCTCATTAGATCAGTCCAGCATTTGACCATTTTTAATTTCTTTCCTCTGTCAACATGGGTTATTCATATCAATGCTCCTGTGCTCTGACAGGCTGTTGGCTGTGATAACATGCTGGAATCTGCCAAGAAGGAGGACAAATGCCTGCAGTGTGGAGGAGATGGCAGCACCTGCTATGGTGTGAAGGGCACTTTTGATGTTCCCAACCTCCCCAAAGGTACAGATGATCTAGGTAGTTTGGACAGGGGAGAAGGAGAGAGTTAAACCTCTAGTCAAGCTGCTACAAGGGCTGGTGAGGACACCTGTACACATGATCGTTGTAGACAGGCTTGGATGTTCACTTGAAATGTTTGCATGGCTTGTGGCTCTTTAGCATCAGAAAATGTGTTGATGCCCTTATCTTCGAAATCACTTCCTTAGTCTCTGTACATACTGAAGTACTTGCCATACTGCTGGTGTCTTCCCCTGCTCAGTCTCCAGCTGGCGCTATAAATGTGCCATAGGAACATAGCTATATACTTCCTTCAGAAGGCTGTCCCACTGTGCAGTGTCTTGATAGCCCCACCAGGATTACCGCAAGGCTCAAAATCATAGAATCATAGAATGGTTAGGGCTGGAAGGGACCTTCAAAAGTCATCTAGTCCAACCCCCCTGCAAGGAACAGGGATATCTCCAACTAGATCAGGTTGCTCAGGGCCTCGTCCAACCTGGCCTTGAATGTCTCCAGGGATGGAGCATCCACCATCTCTCTGGGCAACCTGTTCCAGTGTTCTACAACTCTCATGGTAAAAAATTTTTTCCTAATATCCAATCTGAATCTACCTCCCTCTATTTTAAAACCATTACCCCTTGTCCTATCACAACAGGCCCTCCTGAACAGCCTCTCCCCATCTTTCCTGTAGGCCCCCTTGAGGTACTGGAAGCCCGCTATAAGGTCACCCCGGAGCCTCCTCTTCTCCAGACTGCACAGCCCCAACTCTTTCAGCCTGTCCTCATAGGAAAGGTGCTCCAGCCCTCTTATCATCTTCGTGGCCCTCCTCTGGACCCTCTCCAACTGGTCCATGTCCTTCTTATGTTGGGGGCTCCAGAACTGGACGCAGTACTCCAGGTGAGGTCTCACGAGGGCAGAGTAGAGGGGAAGAATCACCTCTCTCGACCTACTGGCCACGCTCCTCTTGATGCAGCCCAGGACGCGGTTAAAATGGATCTGCATCTTCTCCATTTGGCCAATTTTGAAAAATTTCTAGATAACAACTACACTTGTGGTAAAATCTCTCTGTGTTGAGCTGCAATATGATGCTTACTGAAATTCCAAAGATTTTAAAATCTGAGAAATGGACTTTGCACTGACCCCTGTGCTTACTTTTCTGAGGCATAACTGGAAATTTTTACACATAGACTGACCTGTGAATAGTGTAGAGTGAAGCTATTCAGAATGCAGATAAAGTGACAGCTGAAATGCTTCAAGCCACCATCGTAAAGCTCATCCAGTTGTTCAGGCACCAATGAAACCATTAGCACCTTTGGCACAGAAGAGTGACTGTGTGGCATCCACAGATAGACATTGAATAATCCATTTTCTTTTTATTTCAGGTTACAACCAAATCTTCATCATCCCCGTGGGAGCAACAAGCATCCAAATTAAGGAGGTTATGCCCAGCAGGAACTTCCTGGGTAAGACTGATGTCAGAACCTGTGTTTCAGTGTGTTTGAATTCCAGCCATTGCTTTAAAATTTGGTTTTCATGTATTCTGGGCTTTAAACATTTACTTTGAGGGCTGGATATGGCAGATTGAAAAACCCTCTGAAAATCAGGATCTAAATATTGAGTATCCTTGAAGTGTTAGTGATGCTCAACTCTAGGCTTCAGGTTTACCTCATTTTCCCTCCTGTGGTGATGTTGCTGTTGAGTGGAGAACAAAAATACCCAAACCACATTCAGACATCTTGTCTGGAACTTTCAAAGAGTCTAGTTGATATAGCAAAATTTGGCTGTGAGTCCTGGGATAGGCTTCTTTTCTCCATAGATATCTTTTGGGTATTTCTCTGTAAAACCTCAAACTTTGGTCATGTTGCAGAGGGCAAAAAGGAGGGAGAAATGTCCTCACCTAGCTTTCTGGGAAGGGCTGAGGAAATTCCAGTGGTGAAAGGAGATACTCTTCTGTTTTCTGACTCTTCCATCACTCAATGCTTTGGACAAATCAGTCTGGTCATGTTTTCCTTTGTAGAAAACTGGATGCAGTACCAAAGTCTTTGTTTTCTGAATAGAATGTCTGATGAACAGGATAGTGGTGTAGGGGCAGTGGGGTGTGAATCCCGCATCTTAATGGCAAGCGGGACAAAGGCTGGCATAGGCTGTGCCTCAGTGACTAACAGTGGGGAACGCACAGACAGGGCTGGAATATGCTGGAGACATTTGGCTGTGCATTGAAAAGTGCTTGGTCTGCAACAAAGCTGGCAAGAACCATTGTCTGAATGTGGAGCAGCTTCTGGCAAGAGAGCCTTACAGGGGGACAGCATTGTTGGAGAATGATGGTCACCTTTATTTGCCACACCTGCAACACAGTGTTGAGTGGAAAAGGAGCATCCCTGTAAAGTTCTTACGGTCATCTTTCAATGTGTGAATTTTTGCTGTGTTGGTAAATGCCACTGTATTAGATGGTCACCACACAGTACTGATGTAAAGGAGCTGGAGGCCAAATAGCAGAGCTGAGAGCTCTGTAGATTGCCAAAAGTCCAGAGCAGGCTGTGTCTTGTGGTATTGGGAGCCAAGTGTCAGGTTATGGGTACGTTAATTTACTTCTTTTTCTTCTCTGGCATGTGGGTTTGTCCAGCTGTCAAGAATGTGCGAGGGGAGTATTATCTGAATGGGCATTGGACAATTGACTTCAGCCGAGCGCTGCAGGTAGCTAGCACGGTTATGCACTATGACCGTGGCTCGGAAGGTGATCTGGCTCCAGAGCTCCTCCATGCCCGGGGTCCCACCACAGAACCTCTTGTCATTGAGGTAAGTAGCTTTATCTGCCCACCTCTGATACTCTTGTTCCTTTGCTTTGCATAGTGGCTCCTGCTTTGTGCAGTGGGAGTACATTGCTGGGGACTACATGGGAAAGACTTGAGGAACCTTACAGGGCTGTAGGCCCCCAAGCCTAGACCAAGGCAGTCTTCTCACAGAAATAGCACTATTTTCTGCTCTGGTTCTGTTGCCCAGAAAGCAGTAGGGCGAGGCTCGATGTTGGCTTCCTGCCTATTCCCATGGGCTCTAGCTTTAAGGGAGGGGAGAGACATCACCAAATGGTGTTGGGGCAGGAACAGGGTCTGGGGCACTGCTTGTTATAGTGTGCTGTGGCCCAAGAAAGGGTACGTACTGTCACAGGAGCAGCTGGATCTTCTGATGCTGAGAGGGATGAATGCACCCTTCTCTGGAAAATAATGCTCTCTCAAGTGGCATAGAAGACAAGGAGAAAACACAGCGTAGAGGATAAGTGCTCCTTGAACGCGAGGGGTGTAGGTCAGCTCAAACTCTCACACATAGTGGGAAAATGCTGTGAAGGGGAAAGAAAAGTGCTGCTGTTATTTCCCTGACTTTCTCCTGTGCTTTCGCAGCTCATCAGCCAGGAGCCAAACCCAGGGATACAGTATGAGTACTACCTGCCTGTGCAAGGACAGGCCTCGGGCTACAGCTGGAGCTATGGTTCCTGGAGCGAGTGCAGCTCCGAATGTGGAGGAGGTAAGGGGACAGGACCTAGTGTCTGGCGGCTGGTGTGGGGTTTGTATCCACACCTTGAAGACAGCACAGCTATCCACAGGGGGCAGCTAAGGTTTTGCCAAGGGAGGGTCGCACATGGAGTCACAACAGGACTGTGCCCCATGCCTTGTCCTGTCTTGTTTTCCATGCCCTAGTCCTCAGACTCATTAGTAGGATCTTTTAAGACTCTTCATAGATAGACTTCGTTTTGTTTTTCTTAGTTCTTTATGTCCTTTCAGACCTTTTCAACCACTTGAGAGGTTGTCTCCAAACTGACCTGGCCTATATAACTGAATCACATCATTCTCCTCTACCATAGCCTGCAAGATTCTCTCCCTCCAGGGTGACTGTCAGATGTCCTGGGGTATCACATCATGTTCACTTTACAGATTCTTCTATGAGCAAAGTTATGGATTTTAAGCTAAAAAACAAACAAACAAACAAACAAAAAAACTCAATCAAACAAAAATACTGTCCAGCCAACTAGTATATAGAGTTCCTATCAGCCTCTTCTGGTCTTCTGTGCTGATGTGATGTGGCCAATTTGGTAGTTTTTGCCATATTGTGGTTGTAGGTGCTGATATTGTCTTTGTCTGGGCGCTCTTCCTGTAGGAAGCATGAAGAGTTGCAAGTTTTTCTCCCATATCCAGTCTTCACAAGACCGACCTTCTGAGTCTAACAGGAGGCCTTCAACTTTGCTGCTGTATACTGCACACATCATGCAGGGTTCCTTGATGAACAACATATGGATATGGTGCTTCCCTTGTGACTCTCAAACCATAAGAGGAAAACACCCCTCAGCTACACAGACCTATTCTCTCTCTCACCCTTCCAGTGGACTCCTCTACTGTGGAGGAGTAATGATGTACTGCATCATTTGTAATGTATGGTGACAAATTAAGAACTGCACCTGACTCTTTTCCAGGTTGGCTGGGACAGGTGTGGATTCTACATCAGTTTAGAAACTTGTCTTGCCAACACCAGTGCATTGCAAACCTAGTCCTGGGTGGCTTGTGTTGATCAGGATACTCTGTTGCTTCTCCTTTAGGTTTCCAATCCCGTTTGGTGTTTTGTACCATAGACAATGAAATTTATCCGGACTATATGTGCAGGAATAAACCACAACCAGACAATAACCGGACATGTGGCCGTCAGACTTGTCCCCAGACAAAACGGTAAGATTTCCTTTCTTCTTCTGGACTCTGACTTCTTCCTGAGGTGCTTTTGGAATCAAGAAAAAGAATGACCCTCTTACTTCTCCTGTCATCCAGCATGGATGACATGGTGTTTCACTTCTTAGAGAAAGCCTAAGACAAAGGATGGTGATGGTAACACTGTGATGAGCGTTTCTGTGTGCATAAGGAAACGGCTTAATATATCCTATGTTCATTTTATAGACCAATTAAATTTACTTTCCACAGAATGATTGTGGAAGACAATCTTCTAGCCCATGTAGGAAATAAGAAGCAGATTCTCTGGTTTTTATTCTCTTCCACTGGAGCCTGCAAAAACAGAGGAGGTCAGAGCTGGCGTCATGTTATGTCATTTCTGCATTCCCAGTGTCCTTGCTCTTAGAAAGAGATGAATCCTGGAATCTTTTAATTCTGCAGCATTTTCAAATCCCTTTAACCAGCTATGTTCACCTTTTCCCTTACTGGCATAGCCTTACAGTTGGCTTCACTTGGCTCTTACGTGGGCATCCAGAGCTGTAACCTTAACTGTGTACCTGTGTATCTGACGGGTGCAGTGGAGGCCCATGAGGGTGCTGTTGTGAGCAAGAGCACACCTAGAAACCTGAGGGAGTTTCTGAATACATGATTGCCTGTAGCTACTTGTTTTCCATTCTCTAAATCCTTTGTTCCATATATAAAGGACTTCTTACAGCTACCTGCCGCAAGCCTGGAGTCACAGTGGGGCCCGGAGCTCTCAGATGAAGAGGTAACAGGGAGAAGGAGGTTGCAGAAAGCACAGGATGGCAGCTGCTCTCTTCTGCTCTCCACCTAGTTGCCTACTGAAGTCTGTGGGGTCTTTCCTCTTTGGAACTGGTGGTAGCAGTGGGTGGTGCTTTGCTTTTGATTCTTGCCAATGAAAATTATGGTGGAGGGTGCTGGTTGGCAGCTTTGCTTAGGTGGTTGTGTGTGCACCTGGTAACTTAATTCTTACAGGACTGAGAGGGGGACAGTTTCTTCATAGCTTTTGACTGCATATCTTGATAGCTGTTGTTTCTTCTCTGGAATCAGGGCAAAGAGGTAAAGGGATGTTCTGGAAGATTTTTGTTTGATTAATCAAGACAAATAAAAGAACAGAAAGGAAAAGAGAGCATGATGGATTGGGAGATTGAAACATTGACCAGGATGCCAGTGTACCATAGCGAAAGCCTCAGAGTTTCTTAAAAGCTGTTCTTTCTTTGGCATGGGCCCTATAGCAGGCAGAAAAGTGCTTAAAAACTGTGAGGAGTACAAGGACGTGACAGACACAACACCTATAATGTACACTGAGTTATGAGAAGTAAAAAACGTCAAAAGCAAGATAGTTGTCCCTCAGCAAGCTGGTAATAGCTTAAGACTTGCAATTCTTTGCCCTCTGAGGAGTGTCCCAGCCTTATGGTTGACCTTATCTTACAATGGAAATAAAACAAGTGTCAGAGAAGATGTCTTCGCAATTGAGGGAAACTGTAGGTGAGCCCATCCAGTTGATATAGACTTTCTAAAACTGTACATTTGCTTTACAGGAGGCAGAATACAGCTTGGGAGGGGAGATTTATCCCCATTGGAGCTTCTGAAAAATCTTGATCAAAGAATTTGTTTTGAACCCTGCAACCACACCACTCTAAGTGGCTTCTGCTTGCTGTGGTTGTTCCCTTTCCAAAGGGAACATCTTGTTTTATAGCAAAGGCCATTCAGTTTTGGGCTGCCATTTGCATCTTTAGCAATAAAGAAGGGTATTTTAAGGAGATGGACATGTCTGAGTTTGCTGCGGAGTTTCCAGTAGGGTGTGAATGTGAATTGACTGCCTGAAACTCAGTTTAGGGGTGGTGAGGGCAGACTAGAGAAGCAGCGGGAAGGCTAGGGGAGAAAAAATGAACTGCCTTCACTCCCTGGCTGGGGCTTACCTGACTGCAAGGGGAGGTAGCAGCTGACAAGCAGATCACCATGATGCTCCCCTTCCACCACTAGTACCTTTTGACTGCACAGCACGCTGGAGGAATGAAACATCATGTTTTCCCTGAAGCCAGGCCGTGTAAGCTGTGCTCCCAGCTACCTGGGTAGTTCTGAGACACAGGAGTGGGCAGGGGTAGAGATTTTAATATCCAAATAGTCAGATTGTTTTGTGGACATTCCCCCTTCTGTTAGCAAGGGTGCATCATTTCTGTGACAGCTTCAGCAACCACACAGAATCACAGAATGTTAGGGATTGGAAGGGACCTCAAAGGATCATCTAGTCCAATCCCCCAGCCTGAGCAGGACCACCTAGATCAGATCACACAAGAACGCGTCCAGGAGGGTTTTGAACATCTCCAGAGAAGGAGACTCCACAACCTCTCTGGGCAGCCTGTTCCAGTGTTCTGTTACCCTTACTGGGAAGAAGTTCTTCCTCATGTTTAAGCGGAACCTCCTGTGTTCCAGCTTATATCCATTTCCCCTTGTCCTGTCATTGGATGCCACTGAGAAGAGCCTGGCTCCATCCTCATGACAGTCACCCTTTACATATTTATAAACATTAATGAGGTCCCCCCTCAGTCTCCTCTTCTCCAAGCTAAAGAGACCCAGCTCCTTCAGCCTTTCCTCATAAGGGAGATGCTCCACTCCAAAAAAACACAGGACAAACACAGAAACCAAACATAGGACAAAAGCTGTTTAAAGTTTTTTGGGGCTGTTTTTTTTAATGTGTGCTGCTGTTAGAGAATTTGGCTGATGGGAGGAATAAACCAGCTTTCTACTGGCTGTCAGCAGAAAGTTCACAAGCGCTTCTGAGAATCCCTGGCACAGTTTGCAGGCAGAGTGAGGTCTTGGCTTGGTTTTACTGTTTCTGATAGTGGCCATAGTGTAGTGGGTGGTAAGGCTGGTGTGGGTTGCTTTTGTTTTAGCTGATCTGGATTGTTTTCTTTGTCTTTTTTTCTTTCTTTTTTCTTTGATGTTCCATTCCAGGCATGACATTTTTGCAGATATTGGGAGACCAAAAGTCATGGAGAGAAATCTTCCCCCTCTGGGAGAGATCTGTACTCCCAGAGAGACAGGTGTTTTATAGTTGAGGATTTGTCTCTGGAGTGGGACAATGCTCTGCATTGCCATTAAGCTGATCAGCGCTTGGTCAAATGGGAACTTGCCTCTGACTTTGTTCTGCAAAGACACTTTTTTCCCTGTCTGATTTCAACAGGGATGTGGCACTGACCTCCCCTGTGCCTCTGGTTGGTTTAGCTGGGCTTACGTTTATTTGCTTGATTTTGTGACCTGCAGGTGGAAAACGGGGGAGTGGGGACCCTGCTCAGCTACCTGTGGTGGGGGCACCCAGACTCGCTCTGTTTACTGCGTGGCATTCGATGGTCAGAGCTCGCAAGGGGTGGTGGATAATGCTGAGTGCATGGCCTTCGCCCAGCAGCCTCGCAGCACTCAGCCCTGCAATGTGAGACAGTGCGCAACCTGGAGCACAGGTCCCTGGTCAGAGGTGAGTTTGTGTGTAGGAGGTGACTGTCTCTTGGCACCTACTGAAGGAGGATCTGCCAAGCTTGGGGATAAAGAGCCAGGCTCCTTTTCCAGAACTGTAAAAGGTGTGGGTCCCTGGATAGGTGGCGTGCAGAGGGTATAGGACTTGTTTCTGCAGTCCTCTAAACAAGTTGTCCAGCTAGGTAGCAGCTATGCCCTCCTCTAAACACATCCCTGTTCCTCAAAACCGGGCATGCCCCAGCATCTTTACTTCTCTCATTGCATGTTCTTTCTTCTCTGGTCTGCCAGTCCTTCCCCTGCTCCTGTATTTTTATCAGATCCACCAGACCTGGCCCTAGCTGAGTTTAAGTCAGACCTGGTGAAGGGCGAGCATGAGAGCTGCTGTCCATCAGCTAATGATGTGCAGTAATGTTCTCTCCTCTGTGAAACAGGAGCTCATGGCTCCTGCTTGTGCTGTTTATTTCCGCACACGTTGTTGCCTCAGCATTACTGGCCCTGGCAGCAGTACTACAATGGCAACAGTTGGTAAGCAAGTATTACCGAAACGCTGGTGATCAGCTGTTTGCTGTGTGTCAGCGCAGGGCTTCTCCCAGCACAGCTCCATGGTGCATTTTTGATGCCTGTGTACGTTTATATCTCCAGGAGAGGAAACCATTCAAACTATCTGCTGCTAGCCAGGCATCTTGCATTCCAAAGACTTAGAAAGTAGTGTCTACTCAGTCCCTAAAGCATGAGTGAATTTTCCTCTTCCAAAACAAGTACACGCATGCTTGCAACATTTGACTTATGATCTTGTGGGGGTACTTTGAGTGGTGCAGCAGTATAAAATGCAACTTTGAGGCATGGTAACCTAGACCGTAAAGTCCTTTTTTTTTTGTATTTTTGAGGGTTTTTTATTCTATTGTGAGACGTGAATACTGAGATGACTTCAGCGTTGCAGAGTACTGTTTGGGGAAGGCATCATGTTCTTTCAAACTGACTCTCAAGTGATTCATTCCGGGGTTCTCAAAAGCAACTGTATTTCGTGTACTCTGAGATAAAAGGTCACTCTAGTAAATGAGTGGCTGAAACTCAACTGCAAAGCTCATCTGAAGTAATTCAGACTGTCCCCAAGATAATACTCTCTGTAACGGACCTTGGTAATACGTGGAGAAGTAGCCTGGTTTCCAGGAAACACCACTGTGAATTTAAGAGGGTGTTGAAAATGTCACAAGCTAGTTACTAGTATAGAAGTTGTGTCACAGCTCCACACTGTAAAAATGGAGCACAAGGGCTTCAGGCGGAAGACATGAGCAACACAAGAACCTCATCTTTTTATCTTCGCTTGAGTTCTTTACCTTGAGCCGATTTTAATCAGGAGTAAATAACATGAGATTCCAGGTATCTCCTGCCATGTATTGTTCTCACTGTATTCAACAGTATTGATATTTTTCCAAAATCATTCTCCACGTCGTCTTTGGTAGAGATGGAGAGAAATGATAGACTAGGCCAAAATCATCCAGTGAGCTCCAGACCTTCTCTTCCATGCCTTATTGTCTCTTCTACAGTATAAACAACTACTCAGCTAACTCCCATCCCAGAAGATTATTTTAATGACGGTTGGTTGTTTTAGATAATCTCAAAATGGTGTTCTGCCCCCTAATGTTAGGGAGCATAGCCTGGGAATGCAAGTGGAAACCAGGTGCTTTCTTCTAATTGTTGGACCCCTTTCCACAGTGCTCAGCCAGCTGTGGGGAAGGGGTCCAGACCCGGACCGTCACCTGCAGAACACAGCAGGGCTCTCGGGCTCAGGACTTTGCTTGCCTAACGGAGCCAAAGCCATTGGCAACCCAGCCCTGCCTCAAGGAGAACTGCATCCAGGAAATTGGCTGGCACGTTGGAGACTGGGGCCTGGTGAGCATCGCGCTTGCGTGGTTTGGAAATAACCGACTATGTTGCCGTGTTCCTCGCAAACGAGCTTTGATCCATGCAGTCTGCACGTTGGCTGAGGCTGGGAGCGTGTACTGCTTCATTACCGGTCCCTTGGCTCACAGTCGTGTTGTAACTGGCACTAGTAATGCTCCAGTTAATCTGCTGCCTGCTTTGTATGCAGCTGCTGCAAAAATAAATCCTTCTGAGGGGGGGATTATAGTTTCAGTGACAGTGCCAAAATGCAGCCAATAAACTGAAAAGATCCACTCTTGCTGCTTATTTCCAATTCTTCACTGCATCGCTGTGAATAGCAGAACAGCTCTCTGGCTGAGGATGGCTTAGAGCTCCAGGCTTCAGGACTGGTCATTGCGTTTGGTGATATGGTTTAAAGTAAATTTTTTTAATTGTTCAGATAAACTGTGCTTTGACTGGATTAGTCTTGTCTTTGCGGAGGGAGCCGGACAGCTTTCAACCTGGGGAAGGTGCCGAGGGGAGGAGATAGGCGTAGATCCAGTGCATCAGGTGACTTCCACAGACACTTTTTCCCTTCTGTGATAGCCAGACCAGCTTGTTCTGAGTTAAAACATGTTCCATCTGGTTCTTCATGAAATGTGGGCCAAGTTTTAACAACAGCTAAAGAAGCTGCATACCTTAATCTGATCTTTCCTGTCCTCGGGCTTTCTGATATCAGAAGGGCTTATACCTGCATCTGAATAAGAGAAAGGAACACTCCCCCAGTGTTTGTAGAGCTTGCCATGGGCAGGTGGGTTTCACAGATACCTCATCCTCTCCCCTCCCCTGAGCTGCTGCTTGTTGCTCCCTCTTCATTCACAGCTCACAGTGCAAGGAACTCCAGTTAGCTGCTTACAAAAAAGCCATCAGTTTGCTTTCCCGTTGTAAACTGTTGTTCTTGAATGCATACTGGTGGGTCTCCACAGTACTGAGATGCCTTCAGGCCAGGCTGAAACAATTCACTCCGGCTCCCTGCCACACCACTGCTGGTAACAGCAGCTCATCTGGATGTTACAGGCTGAGCACGGCTCAGAGCCTCATGCTTCAGGGCTGGGTGCAACATTTGGTAAAATGGTTGGAAGTATGGTTTTCTAATTGCTCGGATGAATCCAGCTGAAACAGTTTGCTTTGTCTTGGTGGAGGAAGCTGTGCTCAGCCTGCAGCTAATCACGCAGCTGTTCCACACTTCTGGCCTGTGGGGTTTCTGCGTTTGCCCTCTGCTGCCTGCTCACTCGCCTTCTCTCTGTGCCCAAGTGTTCGAAGAGCTGCAATTCAGGTATCCGGACACGCCAAGTCATCTGCGCTGACGGCGACTCCAAATTCTACAGTCCTGAGATGTGCAAAGCCATCCAGCCGCAGAAACCAGCCACCCTGGGCAGCTGCAACATGCAGCCCTGCTACCTGCCGCAGCGTGAGTGGTATTGCCGCAGACCTAGCTTTTCCTAAGATGCTTTTGCTTAGGAGTAGAAATTCCCAGCTCTGCACCAGCTTATGTTCTCAGCTTCTTGCCTGCCTGTCTCCATCCTGTGTGTTTGTTTCATGGACGTAACCACGGCATCTTCAGAGTCCCAGTACCTGTGCTGTTTGAAACATATATAACAGGCTTGGGAACAACATTGGTATGTGTCCACTTTGAGTTCGGTATTCTGTGACAGCTCTGTCCCAGTGTGTGCTGCAGACTGATCCCAGGACACCCAGTTGAGAAGGATGGCAACACGGGCAGGCTCAGTAGCTAAAAACTACAGCCAACTCTCATCCCTCTGTGGACCAGCTATAAAGGAAGCACGACTGCTCAGAAGACTGTGCTTGCTGGCTGTGTCTAGTCTTCATGCCAGAGCTGAAATGCTGACTTTTGTCTGTCTGCCCATCACAGGTCACTGCCCTGACAATCCAATTGAATCCAATTGCTGCTCAGCAGCTGTTCCAGGAGAAGAGAAACATTTTCATCAACTGCAGTCTCCTGTTGACTCCTGGATGTATTTGCAATTATTAGATCATAGGGCTGAACTAAATGCACCCATTTTGTGTATGTCTCTCTTTGCAGAGGTCCCCAGTATGCAGGACACTATGGGATATGATGTCACTCGCCAGTCCTTGCTGACACGTTACAACCCAAACAGCCCTGCCACAGGTTTGGAAGAATTTTGTTAGTTTGGTGGACTTGAAATAGAGTGTGGCAGGGGGGAAGGTTCCTCCATTTCTTCATTTCTGTCATTTGTTTCACGGGCTTCTAGAAATTCATGGAGCCAGGGACAAAACGTAGATTCTTTCACACCAATAGTGAGCAGTATTTGAATTTGTCCATGGAGAAGACTCTACAGTATATGGATCCCAGGTTCTGGCAGCATGATTAAAGTGCTGGCTGAGAGAATTGCTGTCCAAAGCAGATCACAGGAAGGAGAAAGGATGATGTGGGGGAACCACAGTAATGTTGCCGGTGGTTTCTCATGGGGCAGCAGAAAGAATGGTCAGGGCAGTGAGCAAAGAACCTCAGGACAACCAAATCCAGAAGGGTAAGCCAGGAGACACACATTCAGGTGAAACCTGATGCAGAAAAGCCTGCCCTGTAGCCTGGGGCAGATAAAAGAGAGCAGAGATGAGGAAAGCTGACCAGATTTTGATGCTCACCTGCATGCTTTAAGGAGTTCTCTCCCCAGATTCTGGTGATGAAAGGGTGCTCCCTGGGAGCTCCACGATCCACAGTAACTCCGGGAATCGCCACACCCCATCCACCAAGGACCATGGCATCAACCTGTTGCCTGTTCGCTGGGAATCCCAGTCACGCTCATCGGGTTCCCATCAGCTCAGCACCTGTCACCAAAACAGGTAACTGGAAGTAGATAGGCCTGAGCCAGGAAGGCATTGCCTTTCCTGGGGGCTTACTGAAACAGCCTGTGCCTGTTGAGCCGGTAAAGAGCCGGCAGGGCAGGTATTGCTACAGCCCTTCTGCCTGTAGGTACGGATGCTGTCCTGATGGAGTATCAGTTGCCCAGGGTCCAAACAACATGGGATGCCCACAACACTACCGTGATGTTCAAGCAAGTGGAAATCAGCCCACTGCAGCCACTCCAACAGTAAGTACAAAAACTCTTCATGTTTTAGGAGTCCATCAGATAATGAAGATTCAGATCTGACCCCGGTGATTCACCTTGTGGGTTTTTGTTGTGCTTCGTCCCTGCCAGTAATGCTGGAGAACCAATACTCCAGGCATAGCACCAAGCCCTTTGGCCCACTTTGCTCCTGTTCAGGCTGGGGCATCCACCTGTGATCCTCTGTAAGCAGGGGACAGAGTGGGTTGTTGGGAGATGTCCGAGAAGTAGAAGACCATCATGTATAGAACTGATTGAAAAGTCCTGAGTAATCAAACTTCTGTTGGTCAGAAACTTGCCATTCAACTTCTAGGAGAAAAAAATGGGAAAAACACAGCCACTATTAGTTGCCTTTGTTTGTCAACTCTGCAGATTAATTGAGGGCAAAATAATCAGGGACGTAATTCCTCTCGTAGCTGAGGATGCTTGGTGGGGTCAGCTGAAAAAAACTGGCCTGCTGCTGATCTGGTTGGGTCTGTCTTCCAGGAAAGCACAGCTCTGGCTCCATGGCTGACAGCCAAGTTTCCCACTCCTTCCCAGCATGAAAGCCTCTAGAAGGCAAAAAAACAACGTGCGGTTTCTCTAATAGCTGGCCTTCTGCATCCGACAGCTTGGACATGGTGCCTTGCATGTGCTGCTGTCCTTGTGTATGCATGATAACTTTTTGCTTTCAATTCCTGTATTTAAGGCAAGCCAAGCCTTGTCCCAGCAGCATCCCTCAGGCGAGTGCCGCAGTTCCATGTACGGCTGCTGTTTTGACAATGTCGCTTCAGCTTCAGGTCCTCAAGGAGAAGGATGTCTCAATAGGCCCAACTACCGTAAGTGATGCTTTGGCTTCTTGGTTTAGAAACGTAGGAAGAGTCCTACAGAATCCGGTAGCATATGTAGGCTTGCTATGTAGAGGCTCTGCTCTCTGTAAAATGTACTAAATTATCCCTTTGAAAATAAATTCTGCTTGGTGGCTGGGTCAGGGGAATCTTGGAAGGAGTGTAGAAAAGCAGCCAGATGGTTCAGTTCCGTCAACTACTGCAGAAATTCTCGTTGTCCTCTGCTGATAGTTAGACAGAAGTTTATTTGCGTGATCTCTGTTAGTCTGTAGGACTTCTGGGGAGCTGTTTGCCCCTGAGAAGCCACTCTGATGCAGCCTGAAGCACTCCAAACTAGTTACCTGGGTTTAGAAATAGAGCTTCTCTGAGGAATCGGGACTGTGCTCAGCCTTCAGACAGCCCATGGACAGGGATGGAATGAGAGCCTACAGCTAAGGATGAAGGTGTTGCTCAGGGCTGCATGGATGTTTTTGTCCAGCAGAGTTCAATGCGGTGCCTGCTGTGCTATGAGGGTGCTGGAGCTGCTGGGCAAAAGCATCTCTGCGCCTTTATTTCGCAGATGTATCCTCTGCAGGCACATTGCCGCTGCATTGCCCTGCCCTTTTGCCGCAGCGCAGAGGTTGCTTGGTGTCCAGCCCTGTGGGGCTGCCCTGGGGAAAGAGAAGGCTCTCTGGATCCTGTCTGCTCAATCACAGCTTGAGCCCTGCATCCAGTGTTTGCCAGTGAGTGGCTGTGGTACTTGTGACTCCAAGCACAGGGATCGGTTTGTAGACACATTGGACTGTGCTCCTCTTGATATCAACGTGTGGAGGGGCATTCTGTAATGCATGCGGCTTCACAACTGTGTCTAATCCACTTGCTTTGTGGGCTGGAAATGGGCGAATGGCAGCCACGTGCCCCTTGCAGAAGAGGAAGCCCCAGAGCCAACCTCGCAGCAGCACAATTCCCTGAGAAGGGCCGTAAAGCATCCATCTAGTATCTAGATTCAGAAATGCCTCTGAGGTTGACTCTCCTTCCACTAGTGGCAAAACTGAGGCAGAAAGAAACTTGTGAGCAGCTGCCCAGTTTCAAAGCAGAGCTGGGTGCAAAACTCAGATGTCCTACTTTCCTGCCTGCCCTCTACCCACAAGACCCATCAGATCATCTAGGTAAGTGGCTTGAAGCACCCAGACCTTTGTGGTTCACAACACTCACATCTCCCTCTGTTCTGCTCTCTTGGTAGCGTACCCTGTCAGATGCCTGCTGCCCAGTGCCCACGGCCCCTGCGCAAACTGGACCACTCGCTGGTACTTTGTGACTGTCGTTGGCAAGTGCAACCGGTTTTGGTATGGCGGCTGTCACGGCAATAAAAACAGCTTTTCCTCAGAGGAAGAGTGCATGAGAGTGTGCCACAACTCTGTGGGGGTGAGTCCTCTGGAGCACCAGCCCTCTTCTGGCACAGGAGCCCTGCAACGCCAGCACACTGGCTCCCGTGCTCGTACAGAGGATCCTCGGGGTCAGCAGCAGCCACCTCCAAGAGAGTCTGCAAGTTATAGCCAAGGAGGAAGAGCCTACGGGGCTTCACACTCCACGCAAGACAGCCACAGACAGGACAGCTGGAGAAGTGAGGTGCTGCCAGAGTCTTTTCCAAGGACTGGTGTGGTGGAGAGCCAGCGCTGGGGCACCCAGCAAGGCAGATCAGACAGCCTGAGCCAGCTGCACTTGCGGGAAACAGCAGTGCCGGGGCCTTCGGAGAGGCAGAGCAGCAGTAGTCAGCAGGTGCTGGCTCGTGAAGGCAAACAGTGGCATAAGGCATTTGGAGGAGATGATTCCACAATGGAGGGATTTGGGCATCAGGCGTCTGCAGACTTGTTCCCAGTGCGGGCTCTGCACAGGTGATTTCCCATCTCCCCCCCTGCCCCCTGCTCTGCCAGCTCATTGTGAAGCATCAGTGTAGCTTCCTCTGGAGTGAAATTGTTGCCCCAGCTGGGACCAGCTAACTGGGAATACCATGCAATGGATTGTCTGTAAGTGTGGCCCTTTGGGTAAATCAAGTTATTCAGGCCCTGGAGTTATCTGCTGACTCTTTCCTTGCCCTCTCCCTGCTCTCTGACAGCACTGTAAGTATGGTGTGTGGAAAGACTGCAGCGTTTGTCTGGGAGGCATTCTTACGCTGTAAATGAGAATCCATAGGTGTTTTTCTTGTTCTGACCGACAAATTTAGCTCTTTGACTTTAGAGCCTTATCTCAGGACTGCATGAAGCAGCAGTGGGTTGTTCTAGGGAAGACTTTCAAGATGTGAAGTTTAGGTCAGGATCCAGACAGTGTCCTCCTGAAAATCAAGACTGTAGAGCTAGATCTAAATGTGTCTGCACTGGATCTGTGTCTGTCTGCTGAGCTGAACCTAGTTCCTTCAGAAGAGGGGGGCTGTAGGACTCTGTCTCTTCCTGGAGACTGTAGCATTCAGTCTGACCAGAGCAGCCTTTGCCATGTAGGAGAGGGCTCCCCACATGTTGCGTGGTGCATCTGCACAGAGTTGAATGGGCAGCCAGTCCTGCTTTGCCCTGTGGTTGTCACTCATCCAGGCAAGAGGACCCAGAGGAGAGGAGGGCGGCAGAGGTGCCAATGGAATCGCTTCCTCTTTCAGAGCCATCCTGGAGGAAGCCAAGCCCTCTCTTGTGACAGCAGCTGTGGGACAAAACATCCAGCTGGTCTGCAAGACAGGGATGTCCCCTTTCTCCAGAGTGGAGTGGATGAAGGATGGCCAACCGGTCTCCTCTGACAGGTGAGCTCAGTTCCTTTCATTGTAGAGCAGATGGGCTCCTTACTGGGCAGAGGGCCAAATATGCTTGCCCACTTTCTTTGTAATCTTACTGTTAACATCCATTTAAAAAAAAAAAAAAAAAAGGATGAATCAACCAACAAGCCCATGTATTGACCTAAGAGCATGACCTTCCCAGCTGGTCTGGTCTGTGCACAGCAGAGCAGATATAGTCTGCAGTAGTATTGAGGCGTTAGCTAGTGTTACGGGGCAGAACAGGTGCTGTCCCAATAACAAGGAGCTGCTGGAAGCTGACATGTGGATAGTGATACAGAAAAATGTTGTCTCTGTTGGATTCATCTCAGGGCAGGACTAAGTAGTCCAGGGTGAAGCTTGTAGCCAAATAACTCAGAGTTCCTCTGGCTGACAGTTTCTGGCACTCCCATCTAAGATAAAATTTTTAAAAAACTACTTTTAAAGCCTGTTTTTACGAGAAGTCTGTTTCCAGCAATAGTTTGGAGCCAGACAGTCACTTTGTGTTACGAAAAATCACAGTTAAGAAAAGCCCAGTTATGCTTTTCTGTTTGCAGATGACTGCTGGGGCTCAGGCTCCTGCCTGGAAGGGCACTTTGCCCCCTCATTGGAGAGGGTGGCTGAAAGCAGTTCCCTGTTTTCCCATCTCAGTGTCCTCTCTGTTCCTGACCTCCTTTTGCCCGCAGTTATTTCCCCTGCCTGTGACCCCTCTGTGGTCAACAGGGTTTTGTTTTTTTCTAAGACGAGGAGGGCACTACATGGTGGTGGTTTACGTAACACCAGCACGAAGGGCTCCTCTGCCTCGCCCGTTGCTGTCGGTGGCCAGGCAGAGGCAGTTAATCCTCACTCCTGTTGCAGGCACACCTACCAGTCCGACACCTCCTTAGTCATCAGCCACGTCAAGCTGGAGGACGCCGGGACTTACACGTGCCTCATTTCTGACGGGAGGACAGAGAGCCGACAGATTCAGTTACAGATCATAGGTGACTTATCTTCTGCTTAAGACCAAAGAGGTAGCTCAGGGCTCCTCATTAACAGTTATTGACCACAGGAGCAATAAAGGCAGCTGCAGGAGCAAACTTCCTGTGCTGCCACACAGTGCTAGCAGCGTTGCTGTCACTCCATGGTAGTGGTGTCCCAAGAGCTAGTCAAAGCAGTCGGTCTCCTCTGCTGTAGGGGTGCCAAGAGGGAGTGTGGAGGCAGCAGTTGCCTCATGATAAAGCCTCAGCCCTAAAGCACTTCCTCCCCTGCAGTGCTGCCCCATAACTGGAGTTGCAGCTTGACTCTCACCTGCCCTGTTCCCAGCACAGCCAGCGTGTCTTTTCCCCTGAGAGCCGTCAGATGCTTCCTGATCCCAGAAAGGAGACTCCAGAAGAGGAGAGTTCTGCAGTTTCCTGGGCTCTCCATCTCACACTCTAATATGACCAGTCTGCTATAGCTGTCTGTACTGGTGCATTTATGTTTCGTGTTTTGCCCAAACAAGTCCTGTTGGGTAACAAACGATTCTCTGTTCTGAAAAATGTGCCTTATTTAAGTAAACAGACCCCAAAAATATGAAAGACTAGTCTCAAAAGATGGGCCAGCAAGGCACCCTGTAGCCTTCAATCTCTGAAGTGTGCTTTGTCACAGTGATGGCACACAGGGCAGAAGGCATTGGGGCCTAAGGGATGCTGCAACATGTTCACTGACAGAGGAGAGAAGGGAGTCTAAAATTGCTTGCCTGCAGGTCTGTGACTCTCATTAGTGGAGAGCGCAGGCTTACTGCCCTAGTCAGCCAGAAAACAGATGGCTGAAGGGTTCTTTGGCTCCAGTTCAGCAAGCTCTCCCAGGCTCATAGAAACCCTACGCAAGAGGTCACAGTGAGAAGTGTCCTTTTATTCACATATGGCATTTTGTTTTGAATAGAGTACCAGAGTGCTGTTCTGGCAGAGGGTGAGAGAGGTCGAGTCCTTCACAAGGAAAATCAGCAGCATCGAGAGCTATCCAGAGGCAGGAAGGTTGTACAGGCAACCGGTTCCTCTGTGCATCAGCAATCCACATACAGGTAAGTTCACGTGCAGCAACAGTTTGTCCACCGTGTCCAGCTGATGAGCCATATGGCATCTCTTCATGTAGAAAAGCTGAAGATTGGAAAGGTCCTGGGTCAGCTGTTCTGGGACACGGTTGGGAAGCAAGCAGTACTGAACTGCTGACAATAGGAATGGGAGAAGATCCTAGTGGCAAGCTGTCTTCTGTCCTCCCAAGGGTCTCTTGAAAGAAGTATATTCTAGACAAAGATGCGCAGAGAAGCTGATAGCAAAGGAGCGAGATTCAAACAAAAGTAGAAATATCAGAGGCAGCATCCTTAGAAGTCCAAGTTAGGGTAGGCAGAAAGACAAACCTGTTCTGGAAAAAAACAAAGCAAATAGGAATTGCTTAACTAGCACAAAATAGACCTATGTGTATTTTTAAAAGCTCCAGTTACTTTAGGTTCCACCCATTCATTTTAAATATTTTGCGAACAAACCAGTTTGACTCAAAACTATCTCCTCATGTACTAGGTGGCATATTTTGTAGCTTCTAGTATGTTTTTTTGATGCTTCTAGGCCCCACAGAAATAAAAAGATACAAATAATTTTCGCCTTAAATGCAGCATGTTGAGGCTCCAGAATAAACGGGACCGTGATCTGATCCCTCCTTCTTTTGAGTTTACAGCCTAAAAACCAGCCAATTTTCTGAACTCCCCAGCAACCTCCTTAGCTGCTTCTGCCTAAAAGCAGAAAGAAGTGATTCATTGAATTAAGAGTACTGAATTAAGGCTCTTTGGTTGTGTTTTGAGATCCAGAATTCAGGTCAGAGAATGGGGGTGGGGGAGATGATGTTTTATTTGATGCTGAGAACATCATGGTTTAGTTCCGTTCTAAAATGATGTTTAGCTGTAGTTATAAGAGAGCAAGGAGCATAAGAAGATGCGCAATGTGAGAGCCTGGCCTCAAACTTTCTGCTGCGTGAAGTGGATGGCCAGCTCCTGCACCTTCTGTACAGTCAGGTGATTGTGATGGGCTCTTCACACCCCAAAAAAATATCTGCTCACTTTTGTGTGTGCCAGATAAGCACCTTGGGGGAAGCTTGCTTGGTGCCCTGTTCAGGACTTTGTACCGTTTGCCATGTGCTCGTGTTGTTAACACTTCCTAGGCTGTTATCCAGAGGGATGCTGTAAGAAACAACGTTGCTGTCTCTAAAGGGTTAAGCTGGCAGGAGCACAGCACCAAGATGTGCTGAACGGGAGCAGGATTTGATGGAGGCTGCTCTTTTCTAAATGTTGTGAGTGAATGTTGGTAATGGCAAGTATGAGAGCTCTAACGGGAGTGCAGAGACTGCTCTTTCCTGTTGAAGGCAAAAAATAAGGCTTGTGCTTAAAAAAGTCTTGTGCTGAAGGTCAGACGCCGAACGAGGATGTTTCTGCATGTTTTGTTGTGCTTGTGGACTTTGCAGATTGAGAATGGATAAGAGCGAGCCCTCAGTAGTGGAGGCCAACATCGGGGAGAGAGTCAGACTGCCCTGCACTGTGGAAGCGTCGCCGGCTCTCACCATCGAGTGGCAGAAAGATGGGCAGCCCCTCTCCTCTCCCAGGTGAGCTCCCCGGTGGCTCCACCATACCTGCAGGCAGGTTCATGTGGAGGAGAGCCTTCTCCTTGCCTCACCGTCCCTGTCTCCTCCCTGAGAGAATGGAGCTGCTGGCCGTGCAGCAAGGGCCCATCCTGCCTTATGCTGGCCAGTTTCCTCCATTAGGGCCAGACCATACTGCTCGACTGCCCTAGCCTCACTCAGAGAGTTCACAGTCTGAACACTGAACCCTCGAGTGAACAGCTGCGATGCAGGGTCTACAAGTGAGCCAAAGCCGAACTTTGTTCATCTACAAGATTAGCAGAAAAAGAACACACGGCAAGCAAATTTGCCAAACACCAGCTGGTCTGTGAGCCGAGGTTCACAGCAAAGAGAGATCAGCGTGCCTGCAGCAAACTTCCACAGCTACTGGTGCTGCTCTCCCGCAGCTCCCCTCACCCTCTGCTCCCAGAAACCTGCCCTAGCAGCCAGCTGTACCAGAGTCTACAGCACTAGTGCTGGGATTTGAGGACCAGGGGTTGCACTGCAGGTTGAACTGAGCTGTCGCTAAACCTTTGTTCAGTGCTACTACAAAGCTGTGCACAATGCTCAGCTTCAACTCTGGAGGCTGGAGTCGCATCCCAACCCAGACACAGGCTGAGAGACTTTCTGATTTTGTTCCCCAGACACAGGCAGCAGTCAGACGGGGCCCTGGTGATCAGCCGGGTCAGCTCTGAAGACATCGGCTTCTTTACCTGCATTGCTTCGAATGGACGTGACCAGGACCAGCGCCAGGTCCTCTTCCGACCTCGAGGTACTGGATGGGTGGAAGCATACATGGCGTGTCTGTACACACTCAGGTGTGCGCGCACAAGTGGGAAACAAGGAGGGCTGAACAGTGTGGGTTTCTTGTCTGGCCATTGCCTCTTGGCTTCGCACCTAGTGTTGAACAGGCAGCTCGAGGGCAAGGGAAGAGTGAGGTGTTTTATCTGCTGGTAATCTGTGTGTGTCTAGTGGGTCGTGGTGCTCTAGGCAGCTAGGAAGAGGGACTAATAGCAGACTAAGAGTGACTCTGGGACACTGGTGTGGAATGGGTATAGAAGCAAGAGGAACTAAGGATATGGTTCTGTGCATGTGATGTGCTTGTGTCCAGCTGGAGGAAAAAGCTCTTTGACGCCTTTACTACTTGCCCTTGCTTCGGCCAAAGCCCTTAGGAAATCCACGTTCTCCATAGCAACAGCGTCATAGCTCTAAAGGTGCTGTTTCAAGGCCTAGGGGCTGGTAGCTCATCACAGCATTATGTTGGACTTTTCCCATGAGAGAATGCTCCTACTACCACAGGCAGCATGGCATTGTCTTCCTGCTAGCAATGATTTCCCTTTTGGTCTAGGAGAGCTGAGGATCACTGGTCTTCTGCCAAGCATCATGGTACCTGAGGGAGGGACTGCTCAGCTTCACTGTACAGCGACTGGCAACAACGTGAATATAAGGTGGTCAAGGTGAGCAAAAATGAGACTGAACTTCCCTTTCCTTCTCTTCCCAAACCTCATCATTTATCCTCCAAACAATAATGCAAGATGCCTGCCAGGTAAGGGAGAAGACCCATGGTTCTCAGCCCCAACTAGCATCACCTACCCTTTCCTAAACAACTTCACTGTTACCCCAAAATCCTGGGCAAGATCTCTGTGGGGTGTGGGGGTCACCAAGTCCATGTTCCAGCCAAATGAGGAGGAAAGCAGACATTAAGCTAAGATTTCTTGGAGTTCTGAAGTGCTCCATGCTGGAAAGCCTTAGACATTACAATAGCAAAACCTAAAATGAGTAGGGAAGACCTTTATTTGATCTTTATAAAACTCTGTCTGCCTAACCCTAACAAACATTTCAGCCCGTACAATAACAGGGGCTCTTCTCCTAGCTCCCTGCTGCAATAGTTCTCTTCCTCTACCGTCAGATGGGGAGCAAAGGGGATTTTTAGGTGTTTTAATACAGGTAAGGGAAAAGCTGTGCCCTCTTCTCTTGATGGTTTGCAGGGAAACTCTGAATTTGTGCAAGTGTTTGGTGTGGGGTTTTTTCCCCTATTTGAAAATAATCAATTCTGTTTTGGAGCCTTCTTGCAAAGGAACTAGAGAGATGGACTGGTAATTGTTTAAATCCCTCTGCTCCAAGGGGTTGGACTGAAGTGGGCCATCTCACAAAGGAAGCTTTTCTTTCCTACGTGAGTTTGGTGTTTGAGTTGACAAAATGGTGCAAGTTTCAGAGTCTGAATGAAACCCTTTTCAGTGAAACAGTTTTCATTTCCTTGGAAGAAAACAGGACACAATCTTGCTGGTATTTTAAATGTGTTTTTTTTAAAACAAACTTTTAAGGGAGAGGAAAGAGGGCACATTGCTCACTACCCCATATGTTCCTCAGGCAATATGCGCTGCTATCAATGCCAGCCAAACAAACACTGCCAGACCACAACCTGGAGAGAGGGAAAGGCACCCTGGATTTTCTTGTAGTTCCTCAAACCTCAAAAATGTGTAATAGCGGAAAGGGAACGTCGTTATACAGAGCACACAGCTAGCTCCCTCCCACGCAGGCAGTGGGCTAACGGATGCAGACTCACTCGTGTTACTACCCGATTATAGAGCCAGGCTGTGGAGAAAGCACATTTCTTCTTTTTTCTTGCTGAATTTGTAAAAATTTACCCCTTTCACAGAACATCAGTTCCCAGAGAGCTCCTTTAGACCCCATGGGTGGCAACAGTGATACAAAGTGTTTTTTGCCACAGGAACGGAGTCCCCATGCGGGCAGATGGCCACCACATCCACCTGTCCCAGGACGGAAGCCTGACCATAGCCAACGTTCAAGATGCTGATGAGGGATCCTACACATGCAGCGCCTACAGCAGCAGCAGCTCCGTCAGTGCCAGCACGGAGGTGAAGGTGCTGAGGAACAAGCCTAGCAGTGAGTACACCCCAGCCTCCCTGCTTCTCCTGGAACAGAGCCTGCCTCTGGGCCGCTGTTGTAAGTCTATCCATTGCGTGTACCCATCCGCCGCTGACCTCGGGCTTTGGGGAGCGGCAGGAGCCTCTGTGCTACCCGAGGAGCCCTCCTTTCCCTGGGCAGAAAAGCAGGATGGTGGAAACACCCACTCCTGACCAGGGCGCTGAGAGCCTAATTAACTTCCTGGGGCCAAAATGCCATAGTTGGTTGACCAAAGATTTGGCTGCAAGTTTCGTCTTTGGACTCTGGACATCATACAGCTGGCTTTACACAGGCTGTAGAGTGGTTCTCTCCTCAGGAGATCAGCCCCAGAAACTGCGTTCTCCTCCTGTATCTCACTAGAGGTGTCAGTTTCTAACTCATTCTAGATGTTGGACTAAATTTAAAACAATTCCCTTAAAACTGGCGAGGTGGAGAGAGCAGGAACACTCTGTGTCATTTAGGGGGGGAAATCAAACCTGAGGATAAGCCCTGGCAGTGTATTTACAGCTGCTTCACCTTTTGCTTGGCTGCAGCTACAGTGAATCACGTTGTGGACCTGAGCAGAGAGTGTGTGGACCAGCCCCACCTCGCCAACTGTGAGCTGATCCTACAGGCCCAGCTCTGCAGTAACCAGTACTACTCCAGCTTCTGCTGCGCTAGCTGTGCTCGCTATCAGCCCCAGGCCAGCCCTTCTCATTACCACGGGTGACAGACACCTCCACAGCCATGTGAAAGCACAGGTGACCCATTACAAGACTTGGAGGTCTCAACTCCGTCCTTTTACTGCATGAAACTGTTCTGGGAGCTCTGCCTGCTGGAAGACACAAGAGGGTAATTGAACAGTGTAGTGGGTGCAACTGTTCAAAGGTGGGAGACTCACCACTCTCAAGCTTATTGCAAACTCCTTTTTTGCCCCCCTGTACGCCTTGCTGTAGCTAATCTATCCCTTCACTTAAGGGTAATTGCTGTCATTCACAGAATAGGATGATACTGGGAACGTAAGGATGCTGTGACTTTAGAGAAAGGCAGATAACCAGCATGAGAGACTAATTTTTCATACAAGCATGAGAGAGAAGTGCTTTTAAAGAAAAAAAAAATCACCTCTGAGGTGTTTGAAGATGGTCCTGAACTGTCTTAACCAAAGCAGTAATGAGCAGTGAACATTTGCAATCCTGCGGAACACTTCCCATCTAGAGGGAAAGGACTCTGGCCATGAGAAACAGCTTGATGCATATAAAATTGGCATTCAGGTCCTATGAGATTACAAGCTGTAGGGATGCAGATGTAATGTCACGTTACTCTAGCTGTTTTATTCCAGTAGACCTTAGCCAAATTTCTAGCTGGGTCAGTTTGGTTTCTACTTGACTGTAATCAGCTTGGGAGTGAAATGCAGAAGCAATGCTTCCCAGAAAGCTTAAGACAAACCAGAATACTTTCCGCCCTCCATGAAAGTTAGAGGTAATTTAGATTAATATGCCAACAGTGTTACCTGCTCTGAGATGCTGCAGTTTAAATATCACTTGCTTGAGGAAGGCTCAGCAGATAATTTTGTTTTTTTCCTGAGCCAGAATTGCACTGTTGAACTTCTTGCAAAGCTGGGCTCAGTGGTAGCCTTGTGCTGAGTTTCAGCTTGGGGAGGTGAGTAAGATAGACATGGAAACACATGTAGGGGCATTTGAATTGCCAGAATAAACTGCCCAATAATCTGCTCTAGTCTCAGTTAAGTCAAGAAAAGCCTGGCTCTGCATGCAGCCCGGGCTGGGTGCTGCTGCTATGGGCCTTCCAGCTGCAGAGCAACTATAACTGAAAAGCATCCTTCAGGACTAAAATCGAGTGGCAGGGAGCGTGCACATGAGGCTCGGAAAGAGCAATTCTCAGGCATTAAGGGGGGATGTGTGAGGAGGTGAGAGTATATGATGATTTGTTAAAACAGGAAAGGCCCTTGGGTGTCTTCAGTGTCTCAAAACGGAATTCTAACTTCCGAGTGAAAGCATTTTTTTACAGCCCCCACAGTATTGTTTTCTCCCCCTCTTCCTCACTCCAAACTCTCTGCTGAGGCTTGGATGGGTTAATCATATTAATTAGCACCATTACCCATTTATTATTTGCATAGACATAGCTATAAACTAGTAGACTGGTGAGAAGGGTTGACGTTTTGGGGGGAGGGTGGGTGGTGTGGATGATTGGCTTTTTTTTTTTTTTTCCTTTTCCTACTTCTGTCACTTTAATGTAAGGCTTACGGAAGGCAGCTAATGCCAGACTACACTCACACCACTCTCCTTCAGTCCAGACTCAGTACTCAGGCCAGCAGAAATTAGCATAGATGTAAATCCCCAGGCTTGACAGCCTAAAGCTGACTTGGACTCTAAATCCAGTAAATCCATTCAGCTGCACCTAAAAATAAGAATTAGTAACCCAATGATTGCACGCTCTTCAGCACAGGTATGGCTTCAGGATTGGACACACTGCTTTAAGATGTGAACAAACTGAAAAGTCTAGAAGCGCTCCAGTAAAGGAGCGAGAGGTGACAGCCACACAGCTATGCGAGGGTGGGTTTTCTGTGGTCTGATAGATTCTGCTTGCTAGAAAAGACAAAAATACTTATTTTTCATTTAAGATCCTTTAATTTGATTAGGGAAAACTTCCTCTGCTGTAATTCATGGTAGGTGCTACAGTGTAAGGTTTAAAGTTGGTATCGCTGGACATTTAAGAACAACAAGATGGTCCTGGGAACTTGTAATTGTGTTTGTACATAATTTTGCATTTAACATCTCAGACCAAACCTTTTTAGTTTGTGTACAGGCTATTTTGGTACATGGTATGACTTTTTGCCTTTTGAGACCAGGGACTAATCACAGACTGTAAATTCCAGTCTTAGTGAAGCCCTCTCAGTGCACGTGTGGCAGGCATCGAGGGCAGTCAAGGTCTGTGGACCTGCTTGGGAGCACAGTTAGAAGTTGATTGTGGTTGTATCAGACCCTTTTGTCCTAGAATAAGCAGTCAGTTCTATAATATCCCTTTCTATTATGTCAGAGGCTCTATTTTTAGAATATTTAAGTATTCTGTGTAGGCAGCTTTCATTTAAGCTGTATGGGTTACACAAGACATGGCCAGGGAGCACTTTCTCAAGACTCCTGTGGGCTGTAACCGGCACCTGTATTCCAATGGGCAGGATTTTAACACTGAAGGCACTTTGGTTTAGTGAGTGTTTATTCTGCCCTCCTTTCAGCTGCATAACCATGGGTAAGTAAGGATGGTAGTGGAAAGCATGCAGTTCACTGCTTTAAATACGTGCCATCGCTGTAATTGTTAGCTAAAGGGTCTTTTTACATTTCTTGCTTTTCCCTCTATATAATGCCAGTTAACTGCCCGATTGAATGTTTAGTTTTTTGATTTGAGAATCAAGATGTTTGTTTTCTTCCATAAACAATGGATGTGTAGGGAGGTCATATCTCCTTTACTGTTATCTTCAGGGCAGAGGAAGGGTGTAGCTATACTGGGCTATTTTCAGCTGATGTTGGGGCACTACTGTGGAAAATATGGAACTAACAGAATAAGCTATACATGCTTTCTTTCCTAAGTGGCTGCAAATATTTGCTTGCTTTTTGAAAGCTGAAAAAAAGCATTGGGTACCAACTCAAATACCACAGGGAGTGTTGGTCATTACTATTCATACCATACTGCAAACAGGTAGGAATCTGTAAAGAAAAAAGTCCCCATTTTCTAGACCATGTCACTCACTGTGAGGCTCTCTGTACTTGCCTGGAAATGGAAACTGCTGGCAAGCTCAAATGCTAGGGCCAAACAAAGGGAGCATTTCTTCCCCTTCAGGTTACAAAGTCTGACTTTTCCTTGTGTCCAAACCAATGTGGGGCACATAAGAATGCAGGAAGAACCAGTCATACTCACAGGACAGATATCAGCTCACTGGAAGAATAGAAAAGGAGTGAAAATACACTGTCTTCTCATATAGCTTTTAGGATCTTCACTCCTTTCAGTAGTAGGAGAAAGAAAAACAAAGCGAGTTTTCTTTTTTTCTCTTTTTGAACATTAGTGTCTTCGTATCTGTCTCTGTGTAAACATTCAATGTTAAAAAGTACAGTGATGCTAACCCAGAATCCAATCTTTTCAGTAAAGCCCTCTATTTTAGAGCTTTAAATAGTTATGGGTCACAAGGACACTTGCAAGCTCAGTCTTAGAGTTCAAGATAACCTAACATGGTGCACAAAATGAAAGGTGTTAAGATACCATTATTAAGCTTCTAGGTTGGCAAGCAGGGTTCATCTACATTCACTCAATATCACAAAAGATACCCAGAATGGCACATGCTGAAAACTGAATGGAGAGTGTGAAATAAGCCTTTCACAGACAGCACTTCTACCACCAACATTTATTTCTGTTAAAGCAGATTATAAATCATCAGTACAAATATATATAACTTACATTTGCTTGTAAGGCCAAAGTTTAAAAGTAAAGTTAAAATGAGATGGTTTTCACAAGTCACCAGAGGCAGAACCTGGACCAGCTGCAGCCTTAACCACAACGTTTCACAAATCAGTGGGAAAAAAAATAAAACCAAAGTTAAAAACCTCTAAGATCTATTGACAGACAAACATAAAATGGTTTCCCAGGTAGGCCCAGGATGTAGATATGATTACAGTAAGTTGTCACAGTAGTGTTAGAACCAATAGATTAAGACAAAGAAACTGCAGCAATACATGAAAGGAAAAAAACATACTATATATAATTATGTAGCTTGATTCCAATAAAAACCAGCAAATTTTCCCCATGGTTTTCAAACCATGACAATACTGTTCTTTAATTTTCTTTATTTAAAACTACGATATAATGACTTATTGGTTGTGATTGTTGTTGCAATATGCTACTTACAATGAACAGATACAAGAACAAGCTAGAGCCCCTTTTTCCACCCCCCCAATATTACTTACAATAAGAATCAGAGATAAATCAATCTTATGTACAATTTCTTACATCCAACCCCCCTTTTTTTTAACCTTTGGCAAGATTACTTACAACTCATACAACTTTTAATATCCAACTATTTAAAATATTCTAAATGCATAAAAATAAAGATTTTGGCTTTACTTTATTCTTTACATATAATATTCACTTTGTTACTCAAAATGGAAGCTCAACTTTTTCCACAAACCTTGCTTTTGCTAAGCAGGTGACACCCTCCCAGCCATATCCACCTCCCCCCCACCCCCCCTCCCCACCCCATTTTTCCCTGAAGGGGGACGTCCAGGACTCGCCGGGCATCAGAAGGACACAAGTACAAAATCTGCCTTCCTTTCGGTGAGATAATGGATGTTTCTGCAGAACAGGCTTTGGGGCTGGGTGCCTACCTTTGCTCTGTTTGACTTCCAGCTTTCCAAGTGAGGAAGGAATGCAGACTGGGGTGGCTCCAGGATTCCTTTTAAGAACTTCAGATTAAAATCTCTGTATGTTTATATCCTCCCCATAATTGCTCCCTCTAACCCATTTTTGTTTGAAGGGACCTTTGGGATTATCAAAGCAAACTGATCAGAAACAGTCCCCTCTGCTCCCTTTATCCCTCTATCCTAATGTACAATTTATCCACCCCTCATAGGACTGCTTAAAGTTCAATCTCAAATGTCTTCTGTAAATCACTTGAGAAGGGGTTAGTTGGAGAGGGATTAGTGCGCTGCTTTGCCTTGCTCTCCAGCGCTGCCCACTGTGCTTCGAACGGATCTACCTGTGGAGCAGCTGTGGGAGGCTGCGAATGCTTGTCCTCTGCAGCCCATTTGCCACCCTCAACTCCGTTGAAAGCTGCGGAGCCGTTGTGCTGCGCAGGTGGACTGAAGAAGGGGCTGGTTGTAGCACTGTTGCTTTCATACTGAGGGAACGTCTGCTGTTTGACAAGACTGGGTGACTGATGAGGATGGGCTGCTGGAGCGTGGCTTGCAGTACCAAAGACGTTGGCTACCATCTGGGAAGGTGTGATTCCAACCACAGGTACGCTTGGGGCTGCGTAGGTCATCCCATTCGCTACAGCATAGGGCTGAGCCGGCATAAACGCCGGCTGCATGGGCGGTGCTACACCCACGGGCACAGGCTGAGGTGCGATGAAGGTGCCGACGGGGTAGGCTGGCGCTGGCTGGGAAGCTGCCGGAGGAGGCTGTAGCAGTGGCTGTGGGGCTGGGGCCGGGGCCGGTTGCTGTTGGGCTCTGACAGTCTTTGAGACCTCTTCCAACCAGCGGTCTGCCTCCGAGGGAGTACGTCTGTGATTTCCTTGGAAGAGGCTTTTTGGCGCGGGCTGGGAAGCTGCCGGAGGAGGCTGTAGCAGTGGCTGTGGGGCTGGGGCCGGGGCCGGTTGCTGTTGGGCTCTGACAGTCTTTGAGACCTCTTCCAACCAGCGGTCTGCCTCCGAGGGAGTACGTCTGTGATTTCCTTGGAAGAGGCTTGGTGAGGCCGCACCTGAGGAGGTGCTGCTCCATTCAGTGCCTGGGAAGGAAAGCATGGGGAAGTCACTAATGTTTCCACTCCTCACCCTTTTATCAGTTAGAAAGGCTGGAGGATGTACACCAGAATAGACAGGTCTCCTCCCTCCATGGTTGAGAGACTGCTACCAACACTGGAAGCATCTTTATGCATCCACTGGACTGTTCTGTTCTAGGACAACATTGGTCAAGAAGGGGTAGAGAAAAGCTTCTTCACTGAAATGCAGATTTTACTTTTTTCCTTCCTATCAGACATGTGAGACTTCAGGGTGTGCAGGAGAGCTGCCACCTGCACTCATAACTTAGTGACTTACGGACATTGACTTACCGACAATGATCTAGTCCATAACCACTAACTCCTCTAACTGGGGAGTACCAGTTTCTGAATGTACAGCTCAGGACTGGTGGACTGTTCGAACACAAAGCTAAAAGAAACTGGTTTTAAGACTCATTTTCTCTGTTTCCTAAATTAAGGCTTTACCCTCTAAAGGAGAGTAATGTAATGGTACTGGGAGTTCAAGACATTTATTTTCCTGTCCCATACACACTGAAGTGAAGTGTGAGTACTCAGTACAATAGACATGAACATTTAAGACCATATATCTAATCAAATTACTATACAGTATGTAAACTATACTTACTATGACTCCTTTATATTCTTCCTCTACCTCCTCTCACTCTTCCCTTATTCTTTTCATAACTTAGGCTGTTAACCTCTCAAACTCTTTTTGCAATGTTCAACACTTAGCATTTTAAGACTTTTCTTCTATAAAACCAGCTCTGATTTTAATTCATTTATCTTCAATGATTAAAAAAAATAATAAAAGAAATCACCATCATATCCATTCCTCTCATAGTTTCAAAACTATCTCCCACTACCTGAATTCTCGTTTTCCTTCTCCCTACAGTTTGAAATTCTCTTCCCCTGCCACAGGGCCTTGCCAGGTTTCCAACATGATGAGAAAAGCAATCAGGAATGCTAGAGATGGCTCTGCAATTCATGCGTTATTTGGTGTTCTGGAGAAGTGGAAAACTAGTACTGCTCGGCAGTCTTCAGTCAGCCTGATCTAGTTAAACGCCATCTAAAGATGAGTTTACTGTTGTTTTGACAGTGGGAACTGTTGGAAGCAGAGCTCAGGGACTCACTGGTGAAGATTTAGCTGAAAATGGGTCTGGTACTCTTAAAAAACCAAGCAGAACCTACTATTCCACTAGCAAAGTTTCTCTCTTTGAGTTGAGCTTACATCAGGAAATGAGGTTAGTTTGATTGTAGCCTTCTAGCACATGGGTGACAGCTATTTAAACTACCATCTTACATTGTATATAACTACAGACAAGGACTGGAGGGACAGACTAAACTTATTAAACAGAAGAAATGAACCTCTAGAGCCTTTAGCAACCAATTTAATGTCTCCTTATGTACGTTAGCGGAAATAACGCACAAAAATTATTTTGGGTACAGTACACATAGATTCTTTCCCCTTCATCCCCAAACACACGCTATTTCATTACTTCCTTTTTTAGCCCTGGATTTTCTAAAATGCTGCCAAAACAAGAATCAGTCCAGCCTATAGACCCAGATCAGTGAGTTCATCGCTTCCCTCCATCCACTTGTGCAAAAGGCTACTACTTCCGGCTTTTGTTACTGTTCCTTCCGCTTGCCATTAAATGGCATTGACAATCATCTCAAGGGCTCAATCACTCTTTTGATCCAACTTCTCATAGCAATGCACCAGATCTACTTCCAATCTTACCAGCGACCATGGCTGCAGCTCCAGTATTAGCAGCAGGAGCATGAGCCCAAGGATTGGTTTCACGAACGGGCATAGCTGTGGACACTACAGCAGCCTGGGATGGTTTAGCAGCAAGCACACAGAAGGCAGAGGCAGTGCCATTAACTAAAATGGGAGCAGACAACATCAGTGCAATTAATTCATGCAAGGCATGCACGTGACTGGAGTATTAGTGGGCCATGTCATACCTATCAACGTACATCAGTTTTAGACACTTCCACATGACAGCAGTTTGTGTAAATTACCCAAATTGGACTGACAGTCGATGAAGCTAGTAAATTCCATTTCACCAAGCCAGTGCTTGTTAACAGAATTGTGGGATGGTGGATTTTTGTGTATTTGATGAGACCTTGAGACCAACTGTAGTTAAATTTGTTGGTTTTTATAGAGAAGAGATATGGCTCTTCAGAAGTTACTGTATGATTCATTTTAGATTCAAAAGAAGAACAGATTTTAGATGCAAAGTAACAATAACTACATGTAACAAGGAGAGGTTCGTTCTTCACACATCTTGTATAAAAGCATATCGCTGAAATGAAGATTAGAGGCTGCTATGAGTTCTGTGGTTGGCATCTCTCCACAACTTATCTAAGAGTTTGTGTGAAAAAACTGTAACCATGAGGCGGCACAAAATCTCTTCCCTTATGGGATTTGATTCCTGTGACGTACAGTTGGTAAAGTTTTTGCGGTTCAGGAGGCAGAATGTTAAAATAGCCATTATCTCAAAGCCAGTCCCTTTTACAGGTATCTATCGTGTGGTAGGTGCACAAACTTTTTGTTAAAAACAAAACCACAGAAAAACTAAACAGATGAGAAGAACAAAGCATTCCCCCAAAGTACTGATAACAGGATTTGCACGGGAAATGAAGACCATGTGTTACTGGAAAGCAACAATATGTGCATTCAAGCCTCATCCAGCATGACCACAGCACACAGAGAAATCACAAACCTTGAAAGGCAGGAGACTGTGGTGCGACTACTGTCACTGGTTTTGTCATGGGAGCTGAAGAGAAAGGATCTTCTGATGGTGTGCTGAAAGCACTGGTGATCTGAGAGCACAGGGCACTAATGCTGTCCGTTTCCCCTTCTACCTCAGGGACTAAAATGTAAACAAAATTCATTAAATTGGAAGTTTTAAGGATGCAGAAACCATTTACAAATACCAATGTGAAACTAAAAACATAGTTCCCTTATGTCCTAGATGTTCCTGCTAATGATTTGCATGACAGTGGTTTTTAAAATCAGTGTTGAAGACCTGACCTGAAATAGAACACCACGCTAGTGTATTTTGACTAAGTCAAGAGGGTAAGGAGATCAGTGTTCCAGATTTAAAGTCAGTTATTACTGCTTCTCTGTGTTAATGCAAGAGGATGTTCATTTCAGAAAATAAAAGGGTTTCCTATAGCTTTAGCAGAGATCTAAATCTTTCAGTATTAAAGTGCTAAACATATCAAGGATTTGGCACTTTGTGAAATGAAAATACTTACGATAGATTTAAGTGTTCCAACAACATACTTCCACAGTAACTAGATGAAGTTTAAATGTGCTGACAGCAACGAACAGTGGCAAGTTAAGTCTAGAGTTAGAATGTTGATTGCTCCAGTTCAGCAGTAGCTGAAATCCCTCTATTCTGCGGTAGAATTATGAAAAGCAAAAGCTGAAAGCTCAAATAAAATGGACACTTAGTTTTAAACCAAGTATCAGCATAATGTGGATAAAGTAACATCTGGGATAAAACTGCTGACTTACCAGATGTTCTCATTAGTACTAATTGCACTGCTTTTCAAAAGTACTGATCATCAGTCGTTCATTGCACAGAACTGACATGAGCAGGCATAATTAAGCACAAATAGTATAAAAAACATAAGATGCCTGGACACAACATGCACCATATCTAAAATTCAGGGGGAGGCATGCCCAAAGACTTTATTCTACGATTTTATATTCCAATACAGCGCATGTGATATGACAGTAAGCAGCACTGGCAGCGGCATACATGGGAACATGCACCAGAAGTGTTCTGAAGCATGAAGAACTCCTATTGTAGTGTGCTCAGTGAGTATCACTAGCGAGCAGTGCACTATTGCTGCAAAACTAACAAATTCAGTGCTGCTGCTAAAGCACAGATCAACAAATAAGGATTATGAGAGAAGTCAGACTAGGTGTTTTTGTTGGTTTTGCCTTTGCCAGTAATGTTTACTTGAAAAGCTTAGAACCCTAAAACTAGCTTTGTTGCCAAGTGAGAGTACAGCTGGTCTGCAGGATAACCTCAGTAAGGGGATTCTAGGACATAACGCAAGGTACTGAGCACCCCAGGTGTTTATTTTGGGAAGATTCTAGAAAAATCCCACTACCATCACGTGAAAACGGTACCACGCATTACTGATACAGCCAGCTGTACCACCTAAACAGTAAAGTTTCTTTTAATGCAACGTAAAAAGCCATTTCATTGCTCTCAAAAAGAAGAATTCAGACAGCCAGAAGGACAGGCTGCAGAAAAGCATCACATGATCCCATGACAAGTGGTTAAGGCCTTGAAGGGATTTGTCTCTCAAGATGCCCTGGCATTAAAGTGGAGGAACTGGTTTAGTGACTCAGAAGGAAGAGCCAGCACCAACACCCATTCCTGGAGCACTTCAAGTTGCGCTCCAGTATTTCAGACAGTGATTAGAACGGTTTGTTTTCTGCATGTGAATACTGCATTTGAAATTCTTGCCTATTCCCAAAGCAGAAGTTTTCTGACATGGTGATGCCTGTTCATGAGAAACGATCCACATAAGGCAGGAGAAGGATTTACTAGAAAATAAGGAGTTATTTGAAGCCACAGAGAAGGAAAGGAGGAAGAGACAATTTAAGGTAACGTTTCACTGGAACCATTTGGTTTTACCTGAGTTTTTCATGGGGAAATCGGTCTTCCTTTGCACTGTTGAAGGCAGCTCATTTATTCGCAAAGACAACTGTCGTTTAAAAGGAGACATCTTTTGGCTAAGGGCAGGGAAGCCCCTGAAAGACCCTTGCCTGGCAAGCTGTTCTATAGGGGCGTGCCTCCGTGGAATAGCATGGGGATTGCTCATTTCTTTATCCAGAGAGGCAGCGACTTCAGCAGTAGGAGAGGTTGGTGAGCCAGAAGAGGGGGCAGTATTGTTTGGTGCAGCACCTGGTGCTACGGTTTTCACTTCTGTTTCAACTGCTGGAGGAAATAGCGTGAGGTTAGAAAAGTAAAGCAAAGTAGTGTTCAACTGCCTGCCCCTACTCCCGTTTGTTTTGAAAAGAGAAATTGCAGGAATTTGTGTAACTAGTACACTTTCAAACGAGTTTTAATACCACGGCAGAAAAATCATTTCTGCATACCTTCATTGTCTTCACCATGTCACACTACATACATCCAGTCTCCAAAGCACAGCTTACTAAGGCTAGCCACTCCATAAAAATAATGGCCTTATATATGTATTCTTCCTAGCTATTCCCAAGATCCCACCTGTGGAAACACTGGCAATTCATTTATGATTAAGACTGAAAAGTGTATTGCGTGTTTGAAACCTTTACTTTGACCTCACACAGAACTACGGCCAAAATATTACTACAGACTGTGACTTAGGGTCGCATAGCTCAGCAGCGGCAGGGAACAGAACCCAGCTCTAGGGCCTTCTTTTAAAAGCCCCCCTCCTAGCCTTGCAGGATCAGCAGCAGTAGCCAAACACACTGCACAGCCTTCAGCAGGCCAAAGGCAGCAGCAGCACTTAACAGGTTAGGCTGCATTCAGTGCTCAAGCTGCAGCTCCCCAGCTCCTCCAGGAAATACGTTACAGGTAGAGGGAAGCGTGCTGCGAGGTAGATCCAGCCTCCGAGCTGACGGGCCTTGCTAACACCAGGCACAGTGACAGTGAGTTCCAGTGTCACTACTTTAACTGAATTTAGCTGCAATCACTGCTTAGTTGCACTGGAAGCTCCTCCAACTGCTTCATTTTGCAGAGTTCTGCATAGCACCACAGTGCTGCCGTCAACCCCGCCTAACGGTAGAAATGTAGGATTGAGCCTAGTTTAAATCATGACAACGATTAGAACAGCAATGGGGATTTTTCCATCTCTAGGAAAACTCTTTCACTCATGTCATAAGTGAATTGGGTTAGGGGGGCAATAAACACAGCTCATCAACACAGAGGAAGGAGGGGAAATCCCACTACCTTGGTGTGAACTCTTATTTTACCTATATTGCCTTCCAAATGTTTTAGGAAAAGCAATGACCTTTTTTGTTGACACATCAACGGAATAACTAGAAGTCTGGTCAAGACAGGAGTCACACTAAGATTTCTGAGGAGCTGGAATGGTAGGAGGAACTAATTATGTTGTCTTGCAAGCTTCAGTGCCCATGAGTAGCAGCTGCTCGTTCAAGTGAAACTTTTCTAATCAGTCTTTCTTGGAAAGGATTTCACACACCTTCATTGAGTCAAGACTTTGACTCATGCCCTCAAGTAACAAAGGCCTTGTGTTTAAGCTTCATTTAGCACATTCTAAAACTAATGTATGGGGAACAAGCAGATGGATGATGAAAACGAAGATTAAAGTTTTGCAATCGAGTGGCAGCATAAAACTTACTGTGGAGCCCTCTGAAACAAAAGTTCAACTCCATTGTAAAGAGGGCTATGAACAATATTTATAATACTTATTTTTTGCTAGCTGTAGAACTCCATGGACTACTTGTAATAAAACTTGAGCAAGAATTTCTACTGTCACTTGAACTTCAGAACACTTTAAATGGCATTATTAAATGGCCAAGAAGTAAAAACTAACTCCTCTCAAAATCAGTTAGCTACTAGTTCTGAATGTAATTAACAGTGTGACAGTTATGTGTTTTATGGGGAAGGGGTTGTTTTGGTTTGTTTTTTTTCAGAAAGCACACTACAATTGATCTGTTCTTCCCTCATGCAATATAACTCTACATATACACTTTGTAACCTGCCTTAAAAATCAAAATAAAAATACATTATTTTCTAAGAAAAATGCATTTTGTTTTCTGTTCATTTACCATAAGCTTTAGACTACAAAAAGAATTACTTCATGTCTGGTAAACTTGTTATATTTTTGTAACATTTTTTCTAAGGCCTTTTAGTACGGCACCTACAGTGTTCTCTGCCATAAAGCAGGCTGACAAAACAAAGCAGGAACAGCTTTCACATATAAAGCCACTTGCACTTTTTCTCCAGGAGATGTGGGAAAATGCACTACGAGTGAACCTAGGAGCATTTTTCATCTTGTGAAGTGACAAGCATCTGGGAATATGATTTGTACATAATAAGGTTCAAGGGAGGGAATGCTGCAAGGACGTTAAGCCTCAATCCTTGCAGAGGCTCCAGTTCACCTCAGTGCTGGTTTTGCTCGCTACGGATGATTGTTTAAGTTGCACCCCGTACCTTTAGCATCCGGCATCTGTCTCATAATTTCCTCTCTCTCTGCTTGTTCAGTAGCTGTAGTGACCCTGAATGACCCCTCTCTAGTGAATGTGGTTCTGCTGGCATCAAAGGTGGCAGTCACTCCACACTCCTTCTCTCGCTTCTGTTTTCGCTCCAGGCATGCTGCAAATGCGCAGCCCACGGCATGACTCAACCTTTCCCCCTGCGCGAGACAACATTGCATCATACAGTAACCGGAACAGAAACATACATGTGCTTCAAGCATTGTGAAGTGATAACCTGCCTTTACAAGAGGAATCTAATTAAGGCATTAGAGAGAACTACTGTAATTGACCAGCTTTTGTATGGCTCTAAAACTAAACCTGGCATATAAAGATTCCCAAATACTAATGCACAAGCAGTGCTCAAGAAGGCCACCCAGAAATGAAAGAGATTGCCCGACAGTCTGTTTAGTTCAACTGCTGCTAAGATACTAGTGCGATAATGTGACTGCACTGATCCCTTGCCTCTGGATACATCTGTGCACAAGGAAAACTCTTGTGAAGCCATCCTAAGCAGGTGTAAGTCCTGAAGGACAGATAAGTGCTACTCTCAGATGGAGAAAGTTTACAGAGGGCTCAGGGAGACACTACCATTATGTGCAAGCATGAAAATCAAAAGTACAACGGTGACTACTTAAAGGCCCTGACCAAATGCACAAGTTCCTGTTAAGAGTGCTTTCTGAAAAGCACTTCCATTATTAACCAGTGAGGTCAAAAGGATCCACTACTCAGTAACTGCAATAAGGAAAGGAAATTCAAGTTGGAGGAAGTCCAGCAATCCAGCTGATAGGGTGGCTACAGTTGAGTCAGAAGTGCTACTGTTACCAGTAGCTCAACTCCTCTATTGTAACCAGTAAGTGAATTGACTTGTTATTCACAGAGGAAAACAGAAATGCTCCAGCTCTGACATAAGTTTAACTGTGAATTTCTAACTTTGTTGTTTGTCTTTAAAGAAAAATGACAAATTGTCAAGTACAATTGCTCTGAACATGCAGATAAGTGGAGTTTACACAATGAATTTGCATGAAATTTCAAGAGCGTTGTATAATATAGACAGGATTCAACAAAAAGCAGAAAGAGGAAAAGGTCAGATCAGGGAGCTAAACTTAAGTCTACACTGCAAGAGACTGAACTTGCTTTCAAACCTTCTACTGGAAAAATCTCTATCACTTAGAAGCAAACAGGATGCTAATTTAATTCAGTTTAGCTCCATCCCTTAACATGCGATGACTTTCCGTTCAAGATAACATTTGCGTACAAGAGGCTGCATTCATAACCAGTCTGTATTTACTCACTATGATTTTATCCTGGAAAAGCTGCCATTGCTGTTTCAGTTTTTGGCTGTATACATTTTCAGATGAGAATATCTTCTGTTTATTTTTAGAAGAGTAGTTCCCTTCTGCTAGAGCTATCTGAGGCTGACTGCATTCCTTTTATACGCATGCTGGGCACTGTTTCTCTCCACAAGACGACACCACAGAAAGATAGCAAATAATTCAGATATAACGAATATGAGCTAAAATAACTCTAAAGGACTAAGTAGTATTTTAGCTGAAGTCAAAACATACTGCAGTATTCTAGGTAGTTAATTTTTTTGAGCATAGCTTTCAGCTAGAAGCTGGAAGAGTTGGACACACACCATATTAAACTTACCGTGTCCTTTACAGCCATAAAGCAGTGGCATATCCAGCGTCTTGTTGTGCCATCTCGACAGATGTATGAGAATGCCCGGTCAAAGTTCCTGTCTGGTGCGCAGAAAGAAACCTTCTCTATTGTCTGATCAACTATAAGATCCTAGAGGGAAAAATTCCAGCCCCCCCCCCCCCAATAAAAGAAATGTGAGGAAACATGGAGCAACTCTCAAACAAGTCATTCTCAGTGTTCACTGCAGGAAGATGAGTTATACTAAAAAGAGGATAACCTGATGTGGCTATAATTATCTGTCCATGAATTCACCATTCAGAATCTATTCCCAGCATGAAACAAAAAGGACAGATGACATTTTCCACCAAGCAACTTTGGCAGAACTGTGCCAAGGTACCACTTAATAATTTAGGGACCCAAACAATTGCTAAACTCTCTCCTCTAGACTATGGAGCTCACATTTTCCATTTTATTTTATTTTTACAGCAGCTCCAGTAGTGTTGCTATCAAAAAATCTTTACTGTGGTTAAAACACAACACTGAAACTAATGAGAGAGGTCTGAAAGTGAAAAGGTCTAGCAGCTGCTACACAAAAAGCAAAAGCTGATCTGTTAATTAGCTAAACTATACAATGGAAAAGCACCAGCAGCACTAGTAGTATCAAACACCTCTGATTTGTTCTCATAGACTGATGAGAGAAGCGCTTCTAAAAAGCAGAAAGCATAGTTTAAGAACTATGCCATCTTAATTAAAAATTACTTTTTCAATATTTTTTTCAAAATTCTTTCTTTTGGTTGGTGGCTAGTACTTGGCACCTGCGTTAATGTATTCAACCACCAGGAGGCAATAGTATATTCTCTTTTTAAGTCCTGTGCTTTTAATTACCTCCAGGGTCTGCACATTTTATTAATATTCAATTTTAAAAGATTAGATATATGCAGGAACATTTCTAAAAATAATACATGTATTATTACTTTTAAATGAGGCAATCAGTAGACTGAATTCACTTACATCAGTATGTTTGCAATAGAAATCAAATTCTTAAAGAGACAGTAACTTCAGTGTTGATGAACCATACCATAACAGCAGCCCAGGAGAAGCCTAGCCACAGAGCAGATATCTGACAGGCAGTCGTATTGCAGAGGGATATGAATAATCTCTACCTGCTTCTCAGTATTGGCTTGCAGGAATCATCTTTTAGGTTGACAAAGTACGAGTTAAATGACATGACTATAAAACAAATTAATTTCAGACCAACAAGAGTAAAAATTGTTCTGACAGTCATGCCATCTTTTAAAATACTAGTACGCTTACAGAGGCAAGCCCAAGCTCCCATTTCTAATTGCCTACATCTAGATAAAACCAAGAACTGTTAGCTATTTCTTGCACACAGGTGCCTTGGTGGTACATACTGTGCTATTTCACAATTTAAAAAAAAGTAGAACAATCTAGAAGGATGCCACAAGTACATCAGTCTTCCAATTCAGACCAACAGCTTAGATATTAGAAATAGCAATTATCGAATTTGAAACTCAGTTACTATTTAGCTTGAGTCTGAAGGCACAACTCCCCTATTTCATTTGCTCTCTTCAGTGCGTTTTTGGAAGCCAGCTCTTCTTCATTCAGACCCATTCTAGGATTTGGATGCACTGAAAATTATATTGATTAATATGAGTTTGCTCATGTATTACTATTGCAGCCTTTTGCAGTGGTGCAGAACAAAGTCAAGGGACTCTCCAAGTTCAATGTCAACAGAACTTATTACGAAAAAAATGGTTCTTCCAGTAAATGCAAAGAAAAAAAAAATATTCCAAGCTTGTGCAACCTGCCACGTTTTATGAAATGTGTCTTGAGATTACTGTGGAACTAACTGGGGAAAAAAAAACTAGGAGACATATATATGTTTACAAAGCAAGAAATTATTAAACTAATTATACACTTTAGTCTTCCTTTCAAATATCAACATTTGCATTAACATAAAGATTGGTGTCCATTTAATGCTATAGCACACACATTATTAGAGAGAGATTTAAAACTTTTGTCCAGGGAAATCTAACCTTTGTTTTCTCATCTACAACTCTGAGTCCATCCGCTGAAACCCACAGGACTGCTTTAACGGCTTTCTTCCCAGACTTTCAAAAAAGAAAAAAAAAAAAGGAAAGAAAAAAAAACAGGTTTATGCCAACAGCATCAGACTGCCACCCACTTCCCCTTTCCAAGAACCATAACATTAGATGTAGATGAAGTCCACGGTCAGTAGGGTGCCCAAAGCCAGATACTCAACCAAAGTTGCAAAACATTCAGAGAATCAAGCCAAAGCCAGGATTTCAGAAACAGCACGCTGTGGCGATAGGGAGAGGGCACAGGACAGGTGGAGGCAAAGGAATCAAGTGTACATCCACTGACAGTAAAGAATTCAAGACTGACCAAGTGGGTGAAGAGTTCCACTAAAGAGTCAAAAGACACTAATTCATAAGGAGTTACACCACAGGTAGCTTCTTTAGCACAAGTTTAAACATAGGAAAATTCTTACCTGATATTTCCACCAGCCCTACCCTCTGCCCCAATAGTCACATGGCAGAATCATGGCATCACCTTAAACCAGGGTTAAAGGCACCCAAAAATCACCAGTTACTGTGTTATGAGCTTAATGCTAACATCAATTATCCAAATATGTTTCACTAACTTATTAAGAGCTAAACATCACATCTTGGAAGAGGTAGAAAAATATGATTTCTCAACCATTTGGTGTGCATTGTGAAAAAGCAATGGTGTGTGGCTGTGGCAGGCTGATGCAGCAGAGGAGCAGTCTTGGCTTTTATCCAAGGTCTGACTGTGGGAACTTTCAGCTGCCACAAGCTGAGGGTAAGTAAAAGTGGGAAACACAGGAAGGCTTCAGGAGCCATTTAAACTACAGATTCTTTCTCGACTGTTTACTTTTTAAGGGAAAGTTACAGAAAACAGCATAAACACTGGACACAATATACTTCTGAAACTAATTCCTTGAACAGAAAACAGGTACAAGATGTCAACATAATTTTACTGGTTGTTACAGGGAACTACTACTAGAAAAAACAATTTATTTTTTTTTTTCTGTTTAACGTGTTACTTTAATTCACAAGCCCCATACTTTAAGCCAGCTAGTACAACATTCTCCCCATAATATTTTTTTAAGCGCTGGGTTTACATAGTTTGTGGCTGCTAATGGCACCCACCACAGACCACTGCAGGGAGTGAAGAGAGCAACAATAAAAAAAGATGAGGAGGTATCAGCTAGTGGCTTCATGCAAGGATTGAATTTTTTGATAAATTTTTTCCTAATAGTTCATTGCAGATGTATATAATTTATATTCATGCAGCAAGTAATGGAGCAAGGAGACATTCTGGCATAAGCTACCACATGTTCTGAGTCTGCAACACTGATTTTAACACTGTAAGGATGAAATATCTTGGAGTGAAAAGTTTCCTGTTGTATCACACTGGTTTCATTCTCAGAGCAAGCAGCATGTGTGAAGAAAATGGGCCTGGCAGAGCTCCTGTTTGTTTTTGGGGAGGAACTATCTGTCCCAGTTTCGAAGCAGCAATGACACCCCGAGCATTTTCAAAATGCTTGGTGAGAATAGAGAATGGCACTGACTTGTACAGAAGAGTGATTAAAAGAGAAAAGAGAGAAAACAAGCACAGCATGAAAGCAAGCTATGGAGAAGTGCTTGCAGAAGCAAGTTTCTAAACGCCCATCCAGAGAAGGTTTTAAGTAAAACTGTCAGATTCTGGAATGCCTAATGGAAAGAGTATAATTCACAGAGGAAAGTGTACTTAAATTTACCATCACATACGTTAATAAAATACTGCAGCATTTTAAAAGTCACTTCTAATTTTTGGTCTTAAAAGGCATAGTCTATATTTTCAATGCTCAGCTAGCTTCCATAGCCTGCAAGTCCCTATTAATCCCCAAAACAAATGGTTTGTAGAGGTCTGTCTCCTTGAACTATTTTAAAAAGGAGTACCAGTTTCTTATAAGCTGTCAATAGTCTTAAAATCTTTTATTTCAAGCAAATACAAACATTCAAAGGAGACAATGCCTGCAAGTAACTGCTTGGTTTAAATTATCATCATTAGAAACAGAGATACATGTCTTTCTCCAGCAAACAATAAAAAACTTGTTTCTACAGAAATAATGGGTAGTTCCTGAAGTCTGTGTTAAAAGTCAAGTTTAATCGAGCCGGGTACTTCATAAAGCAGTACTGATCTTCAGCAGAGCTACTCCTCACCTGCTATACTACCAAATGAGGATTTAGAAATAGCTAAGACACGGAACTTTATGTTTTTCATTTTACTCTGAGAAACATGAAGGGCTGTCTAAGTCCTCCTCTCCCACTGGAAACATAAGGTTCCTCATGCAAGATAACCAAACATGGATTTGCTGCACTAAGAGAAAAAAAACCCACACTTATCGCCCAATTCCTTCTTCTAGATTTATGGTAGATGCAGGGCTTAGATGAGGTAAGTCTTACAGTCTATATCTCAAACCAACAGCTACTACTGTTGAGCAACATACGATCTTTCCAGCTACTGAATCCTCAGCTTATCTGTGCCTACAAATGATGTATAAAGGAACACACTTCTCCAAAACAGTTTATGTTGGATATAGAAATCAAAGCATTACTCCATTATGGCTGAGATATTGCCAAGTGTATCGTGATTACAAAGTAAATATGAGCATTTGCACTCCTGACACGCACTGGACAAACATCAGACCAGATGCAAGATACTGCATGGGAAGCAAACTCCAGTGCAGGATGGCAGCTTGACTAATAAACACTGAAAGGTATGGGTGACTCCCAACAAAAGCATTTAAAGCAAATGGCCAATACCCACTGGAACAGTGTGGTCTTAAATGTTGCTACCAAGGGACTCATCTAGACATTCATATCAGTAGCTTGTCTTCAAGAGCTTTTGGATGGCAGCCCTGCTGGAGGAGAGCCACGTGTGCCACAAGTCCCAGAGGTCTGATTTGTCAGTGCTGAGTCAGCCCCGATAGCAACCTCCCTGCTCAGCACTTCTGAGGAGGTCAGTAGACTGCTCCAATAGGAGATTCGTTATCTGGAATGAATTCAGAGTCCTCAGAGGTCCCCAGGAGGGTGAGTGAGGCACCCACTCTAACAGAGACAGCCGGAAGAGAAAGCAGGAGCATTGCGGGCTGGGCATGAGGGAAACCTCTCCAACAAGCTGGTAATGCCCTAGAGATGGGCATCCATAAAAAAAAAAAAAAAAAATCAAAAAAAAAAATCATCACTCTAAAATGGAGTGGACTAAATTCAAAATGCACATTTCCTAATCAACAGCGCAGGCCATGAAATTTAACTGTTAGAAGTGATAGGAACGTGGAGATAAGTAGCAGCTATGTTGTAAGGTGGAAAATAAAGCTTTAAGAATGCTAGAGCAGAATTAAAGTTGCCCAATATTTTTTAAATACTTCTAAACTGTTTCTAGTCTTTCTGCCTATTTTATTCTGTCCTGGGACTTACAAACAGCTGTAAGATGCATCTGGAGTCTGAGGTATATATAAAGAAAATTTTTCATTTCAGACTCTGTATAAAACATTGCATGATGAGAAATACGTGCACTCAGGGGAAGCAAAACATGAGAAAGATCACCGAATCTGTACTACCAGCTTTAGTTTTAAAACATGAAGAGCTGCCTAAAAAGCCAGTTGATTTGGTTACGTCGCACGTTCTACACAAAATAAAACTGCAGAAGCTTAACTTGGAGCTATCAAAAGACATCTCATTTTTATCTGAAGCTGAAAAGAAAGTATTTTCAATACTAAACACTTACACATTTCCGGACACAAATCCATCAGATTTATCTTTCTAGGGAAGAAAAATATGGGCAAGAAAAGCAGCAAACCTGTCTAGACTGACTTTTTGAAAGCTGCTAATGTGTTTAAGCAGCTCTGCACTTTAGAATATTATATTAATCCCAATGCAAGGCATCTGCGGAGAAATCACAGATGAGACAGCCAAAAAATATTAGAGTTATTAGTATTTCTCAATTATTAATAAGAGAACAGCTGTCCCTTTTTTCTGCAGATTTCCTCTAGATTTGGGCTACCGTTGTAGGCCAAAGCTGCAACAAAGGCACTGCCATACTGATGCTGTGGGGATATCTAAACGCTATGGATTTAAATGGTTTCAGTGCTAATTAATGAACCTTTACAGGCTGAAGTAAAAGTAGGTCCCTCTTTAACAAAATATTATAATAAAAGATAAAGCAAATCTACAAGGCTGTGGCAAAGTACTGGACTTCATTAAAAAGCAACTAAGATGTAATAGGGAATCTGACATATTTAATGGATAAAAATCTGTCTTTGACTTTTTTAATTAAGTGCTATGCAAATATCTGTCCTTTCACATCTTTGCTTTCTTATGTTCTCTAACATAAGTTAATATGAACAAGCAGAATGAAAACTAACATATCTGATCAGGTTGAGGTGGAGGTTTTTATGTATGTTTGTTTTAAACAAACTGTAAGCCGTATTTAGCATTTTTAGTTGTAAAGCAAACGGCATGTTTTGACTCCAGTCTTTGTAGATTCCAGCTCTTAAATTTCCTTTGCACAGAGGAATGATCTGATTAGTCTGACAGATCTCCCAGCAACAGTACTATGACCCTTTAAAAAAAAAAAAAAAAAAAAAAAAGAGCCTCTTACTTCACTATCACTACGCTTTAGATGTGTGCTTTCCCAGATTGTAGGAAGAAACCTGAATTGGGGAAAACAGCTCTCCCTGTATGACATGCATCACTATCTGAGTGAAAGGCGAAAAAGGAGCAGCTCAAAAAATCTTATTTACTCCCCAAGCAAAGCCAAAACGCATTCACAACCAGAGAATAATCTGTTCCAAAAGATTTTTGTATGTATGGAAGTTACAAACCTGTTAGTTTCTATTTAAGCCAAGATTCATCTTATAACAAGATACTTCAGAAGCTGTACCTTAGATTAACTCCATAGGAAAACTGAATTAAAATATTTTACAGAAATTTTAAGTACAGAGGTAGGGAACAGATGAGAGGTAAAAGAGTGAGCTCTTTCAGAGGTCTA